GACAGTGCTTCATAATCTCATCACATCTTTTCAGTGTTGCTGGAAAGCCTACTAAAACAATTGTATATTCTTATCTGAAAACAGCACCCACTTGTCATCTAAAAAAAAATCAAATAACATTTCAGGTTGAGTATGAAAAACCAGATTTGAATTGGAACAAAACACCTTTCAGATAGAATTCATCAGGAATTATTTTCCACTGCCAACCTACTGTATTTATTCTCTCTGCTCTGACATCACTTATCTACCATAGTTTGTTTACCATGACACAAAAGATGCCTTAAAAAGACGCTTAGCTTACTGTATTTCACCTTGCATATTTAACATTTTTGCCAATGCTCTAGGAGGAGCCAGAGAAAGCAGATTTTTCACAGATTATCCATCTCATGTTCTACTGTCAGGATATAGTGAAAGATTCTGCAACTATAACAAAAATATATTTTTATAAAGAGGGACCTACTGCAGCTTTAAGATTTTTTCTTTCCAGGATTACAGATGTTATGTAAAGCCACATACCCCAAAAAGGGCCAGCCAGGCTAAGCTGAAGTCACACCCAAGAGCTAACACCCACAAGTGTGCCTAAGCTTGACAAATTACAGTAGCTATTATAGCCCAGCTGATATTGTAATTGATATTTGAGTGTTTAAAAGATCCAATAACAATATATAAGCTGTAATATTTTAAGCAAACAATCTTGATACAGATGCATTGGATATACACAAAATACCTGATCACAAAAAAATTAGAAACAAATTGCATTAAAGTTAGGTTTTGTGTTAAACTGACTCAAATAGTAAGACATGAAAAACAATATCCATCCCTCTTTGTTGTTATTTTGACTACAAAGAGCCACTTAAGCACTACTGGAGAACACCATTCTCTGCCTAAACTGCAGAGTAACCATGGCCACAAGTTGCAGGGGCCCACACGTCTTCCTGCTAATTAGCACCATCCAAGAGAGAGAGGGCACAATGTGAAAAGCAGCACCCTCAGTGGGATAGTTTACATCAAATCAAGTTTGCTGACGTGAGTCTTGAACTACACACTTCCTGTTTAAGAACCAACCAGTCATACACTTCTGAACACTTCTGGAGCCGCACCAGGGATGAGCCACGATGTGCCACAGAGTAGCTTTTCAATCCAACCAAAGACTAAATCAGGTCATTTGTAAGCAGGGTTAGGCTCATTACTCTTTACAAACATAACTGTATTACTTTACTTATTATAATTTATTAAATATTCTAGCTCAAACTGATGACAAGACAACTTCTGTTTTTTAGAAACAGCACGTCTTCTGTTGCCTGTGACCGCTATTTTCCCAAGAATCATGGACAACATATCCAACCACTTCATTCAGCTTCATTAGTTCTTTGTCCCTTGCAGCCTACTGTCCACGACTAAAATCAATTCAGTTTTTCAATTCAAAGTAATCTCAGGACACTTCTAGTAAGTGCTTGCTCATGGTGGTACTGTTGGGTCTCTGTAATTAATGTTAAAGAGTTCGGTCTAGACCTGCTCTATTTGAAAAGTGTCCTGAGATAACTTCTGTTATGAATTGGCGCTATACAAATAAAATTGAATTGAATTGAATTCTCAAACAGAGCAGATCTAGACTGTACTCCTTATTTATATGTAGACTGTACTCCTTATTTACTAGACTACTATTATTTAGAGACCCAACAGTTCCCACCATGAACAAGCACTTGTCGAGAGTAACAAGGAAAAACGTCCTTTTAACAGGTAGAAACTTTGAGCAGACCCCAAGTCTACGTGGGTGGCTGTCTGCCTTGCCTGGTTGTTGGGAGTTAGAGAGAAAACCCAGTTTTGTTTTTTTATTACCAACGTAATGGGAATATTTCTAGCCCTTAAATGTAAGCATTTCCATCTGGGAAGCTAGCATTGATTACAAAAATGGATTGTTGGATTTCAAATCAGTAGGGTAACTGTAATATTATTACTGAAATTTGATCAGCAATTCCCATTACTGCCCAACACTGCTTGTAAAACAGAAACAGTGGCTGAAAGCACTGCTTCAGTCAGTGGTCTTTCAGCTATTCACGACAAATAACTGCCCATCACTAACACACATTTAAACAAAGCTCTATGGTCTGGGGGAGAGGGAGCAGTGGGACAAGGAGTGAGCAAGATCATTTTCAGTCAACAGAAGTTCAGGCCAGACAGGATTCCACAGCTCGTTCTACAACTGTTAAGGTTACTGCTGGCTGCATTTCAATACTGTGTCAATACTGCTTGGCCCGAGAGATCATGTTAGGCAGTATCAGGAATTGCAGATACTGGTATCAGAACAGCTCTACTTTTCACTGCCTGTTAGGTTGAACTTATGTGGCCTATGTTATTGATTGTTCACTACTAATCCCAATGAGTGACAAAAGATGAGATAATTTCACATTGCTGTCAAATATAGTGAATCACTGTTTCACATAATGCTGCTTTCTTCTTCTGTCTGGCAGTGTACCGAGAGGAGACATTCAGAAGACATCACCACAGAAATGTTCTACCTTCCCAACAACATACACATTTAGATTCTATTATTGATATGGTTTAGTAATTTGATTCTCTCAATTCCTTTAACAGTAACCTTTTTAATAATGTGCGTGTCTAAGTTAAGCGCAAACAGATTTTGAAGCAGCAACTTCGCTGTATTGCTAATAAAAACGTAACTGCTTTAATTAGGAGATACAGTATATGTAGGAGTCCAGAGACATTTAAAGCTGCCATCTGTCATTCTCCATATGTTGTCACTTTAAAAAAAAAAAAAAAAAAAAAAAGGCTAATAAATGTAATGCAAATTTTCACATAACACAGAGCTTTAAAGAATCACTGGAGTTCTGAATCTGTGTTAGGTTTACAACTAACGATTATTTTCATTATTGGTGTTTAGTTTGTCCGTTCTGGGCTACTGTAGAAACATTGCAGTTTTACATGGCGGAGTCCATGGATGGTGACCCGCAGCATCTGTAGATGTAAACAGCTCATTCTAAAAAACATCATTCTTATTTTTAGGTGATTAGACACTAATAAAAACTTACCTATGAACATTATATTCCATTTCTGACAACAGATCTTCCTAAATGTTACACACTGGACCTTTAACGACAAGGCAGTGTCAATGGGATGTCTTCAAATGTCTTGTTTCAACTCAACTGGATGTTCACACTGACTTATTACCAGATTCCTGACTGACAGCAGGTCATGCAGCACTTAACTGAACCTGATGTATTAATCTGAGTTGAAGAAGTAATACTGATGATGGGTATCGTTAGTCTAGACTGAAACACGAAGAAGCATTTTGTATTGTAAAGTTACTAGCTGATCAATTATCAGTCCGTAATAATATACATTTATTTTGAATTCTTATGCAAAACATTTGACAGGCTTTATGTTGTGAGAGTATGTTATTGTGTTATTTTTTTGTTTGTTATGTTTTTGATGTACTTCATTGGAAAAACTTCAGGTTGTCCACTCCTTTGTAAAATATAAAAAAAGTAAAATTATTATTATTATTATTATTATTGTTCTGTTCACACCTAAAAAGCTGGTCTCAGTCGTGTTGTTTGGGCCACACTACCCAAGATGTAGGGTAAAAGAATACAGCATTTGGTAACATGCCTCTAATAACAAAGTAATTCTATGGTAGAACTACTCCCGGCACGTTTGGAGCTGAATTCTGGAAGGTTCAGCGTTTATGTTTTTTTCTTGCCTGGTCGAGTAGAAATCCACTTGCCTCAAAGTATATTTTTACCCGCCCCTATAGAAAATTGTTTTATTCATTAGCATTAACAAAAAAATAATAAATAACAACAACCAAGCTGCCATGCAAGCGAGATAGTGAAGGCTCTTGTTCTAGCACTCTAGCAAAATGTATCTGCCTTGTTCTCGAACTTTTAGCAATTTTCTCATGAGTGCCCGATCGGTACTGCACATGTACTGCACACCTATCTTTCTTCTCAACAGAGATGAGAAGAAAGATAGGAAGGAGATGGGATAAGAAGGAAGAAACAGCAGAAACTGCACCGAAGAAAACATTACATTATGATAGCTCAGGTAAAACAGGACACAAAAACGTTTGTGGACAGACAGGTTTGCCCTTGCTGCCTGCAGGCCACTCTTGAGAAGACCATCCTGTCTGACCCACAACATAAAGATGTGTCTTTACAGGAGACTGCAATTCGTCAAGGTAACTGACTGACCAGCAATGACTCATCCATCTGAGGCCGTACTGAAACCAACACCAGCTGTTGACTGTATCACACACAATCAATTCAGCTCAACACCTTGTCTGATAACACACAATGGAGGCTTTGATAATGTCAGGTGTCCTGTGTGCATGAGTACAAGTGAATCCACAAATGAAATCAGATTCAGTGCAGGGACCCACATTGGTACATGTAGTTGGTTAGCAGTGACAGAGTGAGACATGTGCATGAATCATATGCTGCTCCCTCATGTATGAAAAATCCCCCAATCTCCATTCTTGCTGACAGCTAACATACCTGGTAGAGCAAGAGCTACAACATTCTGAATTGTTACTTTGTCATCCACACTTTGGTTCGTGATACACCAGCAATCAAAACTTTCTAATAGACCATTTTCATCTTTCACTTGTAGGTTAAGGTATCTTCTCACAACCATTTTCCAATAATACACCATGGGTGGCCGCCACAAACAGTGTGGGGAAGACTGTGTGTTTATATTGATAAGAAAGCGCTTTGTGGGTTCTTAATAGGCTTTATTTTCCACTGCAACCTCAGCACAAATAGGTGTGACAAACAACAACATTCAGCTACCAGGTCAAAAATAAAGTTCAGATTGCAGGTAGTAGAGAAGAGGATTAGGGCCACATATGAAATATGTATTTGAGTTAAGTCAGACTTTTGTTTTTACTTTACCCTCAAAACTCAATTACATTTTTCACACGTGGCCCTAATCCTCTTCCGTAGCTGGGGATTAAGAAAAGATCTCTTGTCCAGTTTACTTACCCACTTTATCCACTCCAAACTTGTGACCTGCCACTTGATGTGACAGTGGGACACAGCCGTTCAGGTGAGCCGGGCCGAGTGGCCCCAGTTGCCGCTGGCCGCACTTCTCTTTGGCGGGGGGACCGCCGGAGAGCCGCGGGGTCCTGCTGACCCCAACAGCGGCTGAACTAGGGGTCAGTTCCAGTCGGCCGAGAGCTAGAGAGGACTCCATCATTACTTGACGCTGAGTTGTTGACATTTGTCAAATAAAAAAATAAAAAGGGGGGGAGGAAAAGTCCTGGAAAATAATTAACTAAAAAAGTCAACTATATGACTGTATCGATTCACATACTTTTATTACGCACACAAAGTGTTTGGGCTTGAGGGTGAGAAGCCTTCATGGAAATAGTCCCGTCCAGATGAAACCAGCACAGCAGCTTCGGACGCGTTCGCAGTTTTCGACCCCCGACAACAGGCACTGTGACAGGCAGCGACACTGTCGTAACCCCCGCTGTGTGCGGCGGTGAAACACGGCTCCCGAAGCAGCGCCGATTCAATGACTTTCATATCTTGAACAGCAGCATAAATACATCCTGGCCACATCCCTCTTCCAACCAGCGTCAAACACAGCAGAATGAGGCACGGCTTCCGCTCAAAGCTTCCAAAATAAAACCTATGAAGCCTTAGGTATCTTGCAGTGTACCGCGGTAGTAAAAAAAACGGAGACTTTTGGTGTTAATAAACACTTGGCTGCCGTTTTCCTTCAGCGTTACAGGCTCTGTCTAATCACAAACGCCATTACTCAAAGTCAAAACTAATATTTTGGGCGCCTTTATTGTGAAAGCATAATCACCCAACTTCCGGTTTCGTCTTCATCATCTTCAGCTAGCCTGACGCAGCTGGACTTCCTCGCTCCAGAGGAGTAAATACTGTTGTCTGTTAGTAATGGTGATGTTACGACACACTCCAGAGTGATATCCAGTTCCAGTCAGCAAATACAGAAGCCGGCAGGGCCAACCAAATGAGACAGCGACGTCCCTAAACTGCATAAAGAGGCTAGTCAGGCTCTGGTAGCTAACTTATCGATACTGTCCATTAGGCTGCTCAGCGAGCCCGTCCTCGCGTCACAATCCAGCACACCAGAGGGACATCACACCCGCCGTGCGATCGCCTTCACGACGAAGGCCTACGCGCTGACGATGACCACAAAAACGATGTAATGTCGGTCTAAAATCCATGTTATTAAAAGAGGTCGCTAGACTGCTCCTCAGCCATAGATATCCAGAGTAGTGTAGGCGTCTACCTCTCTACGTCAGGAACAGCGCCCAAAGCCTCCTACTCGTTTGCGACACTTGCCATTACTGTCGCAAAACACACCTCTTCATAGCTTTGCGGCAGCACTCTTGTCGGGGGTTCGGGTTCCAGTCCCGAATCTCAAAAGCCCCGAATCTTTTAGGCTTTTCTAATAACTTTGTGTATAGCACTCGTTCCTTTTGCAATAACGCGAATGGCAAGTATGACTTAAAGCCCAGGTCTCTCAGGAGGTAGAGCGAGTCGTCCACTAATCAGAAGGTTGGTGGTTCGATCCCCGGCTCCTCCCGCGGCATCCCGAGGTGTACTTGAGTAAGATCCCCAAATTGCTCCCGATGCTGTTTGAATGTGTGTGAATGGGTTAGTTTTTGTTTGTGGGGGCCGTTGCCATCATTGTGTGAATGTGTGTGAAAGGGTGAATGTGGCATGTAGTGTAAAAGCTCTTTGAGTGGTCAGAAGACTAGAAAGGCGCTATACAAGTACAGGTCCATTTACCATTTACTTCCCAGCCAGAACTACCAGTGTACTGTACACATGTAAATCCCAGTAACAAAGGGAGAACGTTATGACTAGTTTAACATTTTTCTGAACTAATGCTTCTCATTATGCTAGATTTTAGGGGGTGCTACAATCCCCTCAGCACCCAGTCTCTTCAACATTTGTTGTGTTCTGGTTAGGGTTTCCTGGGCGTTCATCATGGTTTTGTTTTTATTCATCATCTGGCTCCACCCCTGACTCTTGCTTTGAAATGTGTGTAGGTCTATGCATGATATTTATTAGAGATTTGTTGTGACCAGTTCACTAACTGTTAATGTGTATCTATATGTAACTAGATGAATACACAGATAAACTGTACATTTTGTTCTATAGGTTACAGGCTATGATTATTGATATTATAACATTATTAATAACAACTGATCATTTATTTCAGTATTTCCATGATGTTAAATTGTAATGTTTACCCTGTGAGATCAGATGGGTGACTGTAATCATCCTCCTTAAAGTTAACCCCAAATCAAAATTACATATTTTTTTATAGGAAACAATACTTAAACTAAACTAACAGTATTATGTGAAATCAGTAGGATCAGTGGTGTAAGTGAGTGCATGAGTGGAGAAGTGTACGAGTGCTGTGTTGTAATAAGATGCAGCAACACAATCAAACCATGAAACCCAAAAACCAGTTAGTAGTATTAGGGAGGAGGGAGAGAGAGTACTGAGCTCCCAGAGGGTTTTTAAAGGCGCATGGCACACAGGCCTCAGGTGTGTCTGATTTGCTGAAGACCCTCTGCCACGCCCACTTAAAGTACCTGCAAAGAAAACAAGACAAGCCACACAACCAGGAACAGGAAGACAAGGTGGAGTGGGTCATCACACCTGTAGTCCACCACCGCAGTCCACCACGGCCTGCTATTAATGAAATCTAGACTGTTTTGGTGTGAATTGCTGAGTTTTGGAGATATCGGCCTTCTCTCCAATATAAAGGAACCAGAGCGCCCTTTCGTAGAGCGAGATGTTCAGTGGTTCTCAAGTGAAATGGGATATCAGTTGATAGTTAGACTTTCTGTATACACAACAAGCCCAAAAGGTTTAAAAGAAAGAAATAATGGAAATTCACTGTGCAGTGTGCCTCCAGTATCAGCATCTGGGATCATCTATGGGAATACTAAAGGGCATCTCACAGTGAGCTTAGCATACTTGAATTACTTGTGTAATTTCTAACGTTACTATAACATCTTAAGACTTATATTTGTTTGTTATCAGTGTAGTATATACACACCATGAACCATTCCACATTTATTATTATTTTAATTTATCATATGGCAACATTGTATGGTATCTATACTTGGAGTGGGTAGAGCTTATATTAGACGTGGGTGGGACTAACAGGAAACTTAATTTAAGCTTTAAAATTATATCAGAAATTGCTTTATTATATTTTATATATTATATTTATTAGGAAACTATTTACAGAACTTTTTTTTTAAATGTTCAGTTTGTAACATTTAGGATGATCTATTGGCAGAAATAATATAATAATATAATATCACTGTAAATACTACAAGGCAGTGCAATATTCTGAAAATATTTCCTGCTCTCTCAACCTGCTCTCTCTTTTTATCAATCGTTTGCACACATTTGTGAGAACCTTTGGCCTTTGCCATTATTTTGCACCAAACAAAATATATTTTCCAAATTAGAATTGTGTTTTTTAAGATATTTTTTGACATGTTATTCTATATTAGGGATTGAAAGTTGGAGAGATGAACAGGAAGGGCGAGGGGGGGGGATGACATGCAGCAAAGGTCTTGGGCCGAAATGAACCCGGGTTGCTGTGTTAAAGACTCAGCCTTTTGATGGAGCCCTTTTTTTTATTATATTTGAATATGAAGGTAGTTTAAATTGATATGAAACAGCTAGAAAAATAGTGATAATAATATTCTTGCAGGCCGAATTACATTATATTTTTGACATCATGTTGTGGGTCCAAGGGAGGAGGATGGAGGGCTGGAAATTACCTTTCAATAATAGGGCTGTTAGAATAAAAGACAACCTCTTCTAACAATATAGAGCCTGCTGATCCTTGGGATATTGGATGTTTTCTTGGCTTCCGAAACAGTCAAGACAGTCTTGTAAATGCATGAGAAATAAATTATCGGAGGGTCTGACATCAAATGATCTCCCCTGAGAAAATCTCCAGACAGGTTCCTAATTGCGCTGACAATTACACTTATCTGTTTGAAAGTTTATGCTATCACTTGTACTGGCCTTAAGTCCCATAAACACAAATACTGGACTCAGTAAACAGATTGCAGTTGTTTACAGTGAAATACAGTGCTGTCCGGTCCGTTCTCTTCCTCATAACAACAATGATAATGATGGTGTTTATGCTGTAGGCCTACATCTGTCTTACATAATGTACAAATGGCAGTATTTTGATTTGGCACATGTTTTCTGTCTGTATTATATAATTTGAACATAGACCTAAATGTGCTATATTCTTTAGATTTATATAGTAATAATAATGATCCCTGCATTTTCACAGTCCACCAGCCTTTATCAACATGGAGACAGGTGTTTCATGTCTAACAGGGTACTGGAGACAAAGAACTAATACACAGAAAGTTGAATGATCAAAGTAGACAATCAGTTTCACATGTGGTAAATCCCGAAAATCTGTGTTCTTGATGCTGAAAAGAAAACTAAAGAGCCAGTTTAACAAAAGGTCAAGCTTAAGTGAGAACACACTGAAAAAAAAGGGCCTATTAAGGCCAGAACTATTGGAAATAGTTCTGGGGGGAGTTTTTCCTTATTAGAAAAGGGTCTGAGGATAAAGGCTGTTGTATTCTGTGCACAGGGTTGGGAGGTTTACTTTAAAAAAGTAATCTGATACAATTACTTACTTACTTACTTTCTGTTACTTTTGGATTACCTCAACACCAAATAAAGTAGAGATAAAAGAAATATCAATGAGATGATGTGTAGTCTATCAGACAACATAACTATGACAATGGAAACCAAGATTTGTAGCATCAAAAATGCAAACTGTAAGATTATGGATTATGTAATAGATTAAAGTTACCTTTTTTGTATCCTGATTACATAACTCTGTTACATGTAATCCATTACTCCTCAAGCCTAAAGCTGTACAGATTATAAAGCCTCTTCAGAAAAATATGTGATTCGTGGTGTTGGGGACTATAATTAAAATGGCCAGGCTTGAACTACAGTTATTCTTGTAGAATATTTACCATCTGGATGCTCTCTCTGGATCACCTGTTAGTGGGCTGTGCCAAAAACTACTGTTCCTAAGGTCTCAAAGAATAAAAGAATAAATTCAATTATTTTCAAGCACTTCTTACAAACACACGCACCTTGAAGTGTATATTGTACATTACTGCTTATAATGGCAATAGGTTTACAGCCGTCTCTATCACTAAGTAAACGAACAACCCCTGACATATATTATGACAATAATAACAATCACAGTAGAGAACAACCGGTAAACTGTACAACAAAACCAGATAGTGAACCCACTGAGTTTGTGTAACATGATTTCCTATGAATATTGAGCAGAGATTATATTTTTATACAATTCTCTGTCTGTATTTTTATTTTGTATTTTAAACTACTGCAGCATTAATAATGTAACTTGGACAAAACTTTAATTCAGACTTAACTGTGATGAATTAAAAAAATCTAAAGCTTTAGTTTCAAGAATCCACAAATATGAGCATATTATAGAGAAACAGATGGAAACCAGTGGATGCATGGTTTGCAGAAATGTTTGTTGTAATGTGTGTTATAATGGCCCTTCAGTGCTGCATTCAAGTTATTTGGGAAATACATATTACATATCCGTAAAATGTTAAAACAATTGTAACCTAAATGTACATAAACCTCCAACTGGCTTGAAATTTCCATGTATTTCCTGTTATACCCAATTGCAACATTCAGAACTACGTTTCCCATGATCCACTTCGGAGGAGCGACCGTAAACAGAAGAAAGCGGAAACAAAAGAGGTTTTTATAAAAACACATACAAATCCCTGGCTGTCGAAGTACTCAGGGAATAAACTCGCGCCACTGACCTCGCAGAATAATATTCAGTTCCAGTAAAGAGCGAGCGGAAGGGATCCAGCCGCCAGCTGCGTCAGTCAACATGGCTCTGAAAAGAATACAGAAGGTAAGTTTCATTAGCTAGCTCTGGTTGGCAGCTAATGCTAGCTAGCTAACTGGCCCAGCAGAGGCTAACGTTAGAATTTCTTTCTGTAAAAAAAAAAAAAGGGTTATTAAGAAAGATTTCAGTGCTGTCCCGCATTAAAACAACTTCTGGCGAACTTTGTAACGTTTGTAGGAATATTCATTTTGTTGACACCTCTCAGAACACATACAGCAGCCAATGGCAACTTCAAAGTTTCAGGCTAACTCGCTAACAAATAGCCAAGTTAGCTCAGTCAGCACTGTCAACCTGTCACTGTCTCCTGTGCTGCAGTGTGTTCTCTAAGTCGTCTCAGGGATCAGACAGCAGCCCTGTTGTATTCGCACTGTTGTCCTTTTGGTGGACAAGAACTGTAGTGATTAGGAAAGTTACTTGAAAACATACAGTGCCATTCATTTCTCGCTGTTTCTGCGTTTGCTTTGCTGTCATACCCCTCTGTGGAACTGCTGCTGTCAGGGGGAGCTGCCTAGTACGGCTCGGCGTTATGGACAAAATCGATATCCATATTCTATCGTTTCACAAAATATTTCCACACTGATATTTAACAAAACAAAACAATCATCAGTAATGTGGATATAATGATCAAGTAGGTAAAGGCAACTAATATAACAGCTAGAACAGTAACATTTAGGACGATCTATTGGAATATGTGGAATATAATATTCACAGGTATGTTATCATTAGTCTGTAATCATCTGAAAATATGAGGCATTATGTGTTTGTTACCTTTTATATCTACAGGCACCATGAGTCGCCTTCATAGGCTGTATAATTCAAAATGGATGTAGTCTCTGTGACATCACCCATAGGTTTCTGAAGAGCCATTGTGAAGCTCCTTGTGGTCAGCTCTACTGGCTCCCTGTTCATCTGAAACTGAGCAAAGAGGTGGTGCTGAGGCGGGCTGAATGAAGCCTGGTTACCCCCCATACATTTGTCATGAATGGGGAAATTAGCGATAGAGACCAGAAGTGTTTTCTTACCAGGCTGTAAACGTTTTTGTTTTTGCTGTAAGTGGGGCATTTTATATGGGGCCTTATGAAGATTGACTCACTTTTGGAGCCAGCCTCAAGTGGACATCTCAGGACCTGCAGATTTTGCCACTTCCGTGTTGGCTTCATTTGACAACCTCTGTGGTCACGTTGAACTAATGTTTCTACAGTAGTCTAGAAGGGACAAACCAAACACTGGCACTAGATAGGGTGTTCACACGTTTCGCAGCCACTGTAGCTTCTCCTAGACGCTGGACCGTTAAAACCAGGGAAAGACAACACTTAAATACCATATTACAATATTACAATCTCTAAAAAGCATCAGGTACTTGTAAATAACCACAAGTACTTATGAAGGCCAAAATCTGCATTGTAGAATAAAAATGTAGCCAACCTGTGTGCATTTTATGACAGCATAGCTCTTAGGGAAGATCTTGAAAGCTATTTTTTCCCCTCATGCTGGTCCTTTCCAACCAGGATGTAACCTGAGCTGAGGAGGACAGTACAGGGGGGCTGAGGGAAAGTGCAGGCAGGACAGGTTATTGCTATTGAAACATCAACAAGGGTTGTCTGCTAGCTGGTGAAGTGGCACTGTGAAAACTGATGCAGGCCAAAATATATTCCTGTGTAGCTGCTCAATTTTTTATCTGTCACACCGAAATCATTCACCCAATGCTGCTTATGGTTCTTAATGAATGACATAACAAATGATTATCTTAAATCTGCCATATTTTTCCTGTGCTTTGTAAATGTTGGCAATATCCCAATGAAATTATTCATCCAAAATCAGGACTGAGACATCAGCAGTACAGAAACCTTACTTTGTTGAACCTGTTTTCTACAAAAACTGTTGTTTTAAAGGGGCATTCCACAAACTTTACACACATAAGTTTACTATTTGCGGTTTTATATCTTCTGTGGCTTTCGAGAAGGTTTCTTAAAGACAAAAAGATAATAACCCAAATTATGAGGGATTGCTGAAATACGCATTTAGCCCAATTTGCACAGGACTAGTGTTATCATGGGACCTATAGTCATTTGTAATAATTGCAGAGGATGTCTGTGATCTTAATCCGGTGTGAATCTGCCATGTCCCTAAGTCAAAATTCCACCACAAATGACCTGCCATATTTTGCCAAACACTGAGGTCCTGTGATAATATTAGTGCCATGCGAATTGGCATCTCATGGTTAGATTTTTTTGTTTTTGTAAGCTATCAAACTGGTATTTTATTGTAACAGAGAACATAAATATGGTGTTGCACCTAAGATGCATACAGGTAATGGATGTATTATAAGATCAGTAAAGTCATTTTTACACTGAGTGTTTCTGCAGCTTTCTCCAGTGTTTCATGCTTTCCTCCACCTTTCAGCACAGAGATTGGTCCATAATGAAAATTGTGTGGCTTTAGTTAGCAGAGGTGCTCACACACAGAGTCAACTTTATACCTTAACTTAGGAGAGAACGTACACACAGCTGGTGCAACCCAGTCCACATTCTTTCTTTTGACTTTATTTATTGTTATTGTTGTGCATCTCTGTCATTGTCTTTCTCTCTTTTTATCACCAATGCTGTCCAAGACCTTTGATTAAATAGTTGTAACATTAACAAATGTTCTTGTTATGGTGTCACTGACAACAGTTGGAAGAAGACCAACCAGCAGTTTGACAGACTGAAGATACTCAAGGTCCACTTACTTCTCAATCTGCTGAGAAATACCTGCTAAGATCAGCAGCAAATAATAGATGTGGTGGAAAGCACCCGCTAAAGCTAGTTTATCTTAAGATTGTTTTTGTCAAATTTCTGGCTAGTATCTTTGTTCCTGATACACCTTTCCTGGAAAATCTCACCTGGTAAGTATGAAGGGAAGTTTGTGTGAAATAGAGCAACAAACCTTTTCAGATATTATCAACATTAGTCACTGCAGCTGAGCTCATAAACAGAGGCCACTGTCAAGTTGTTGTTAAAGTAAAAAACAAATGAGATTAGATTAAAAACTCACCTATTCAGAACTGCCTACCCCACTTAACCATCTACATTGTCTTTTCTTATCTGTTTCTTATTTCTTGCTGTTTTTTTTTTTTTTTTTTTTTTTTTTGTGTTGTACGGTGTCCTCGAGTGCCCAGAGAGGCGCCTCTAATAATTTAATGTATTATTATTATTATTATTATTACCTGTTGAATAACTAACAGCAGTGTTTCTGCTGTGTTGAGCAGGAGCTGCAGGACCTGCAGAGAGACCCTCCAGCACAGTGCTCTGCTGGACCTGTAGGGGATGATTGTGAGTACACATGCATACATTTCATGTCACTCTTTCTCACCTAAGTGTATTAGAGAATGACTGCGTCCTATTGCTTGTGGGGCATTTTATGCTGGAAATGTAAAGTGCAAAAATGTCTTTCTCAAAACAATATCTTCCACTTAAAAACATACAAGCAACTGTAGAAATATGTGTTGTCATAGAACTAGACACAACCACTTGTTTTTTTAATATGATTTTTTTTCTTTGATAAGAGAGACAGGGTTGGAAGTTTCCAGTCCAAAACTGAGCCACCACAAAGCTTTGTCAGCAACTACTTTGAGTGCAGGTCAGATGTTGCAGATACCCAGTATTGTAGCCATTGTTGGGAAATTCTGCCCATAAATGCTGCTTAGTTAAATATTTGCCACTTATGTAACAGCAGTATGTTTTGTGGGACTGGAGGTATGAACATGAAGGTGATGCTGTTCTAACCCATGTATCATGATGAGGACAGTTCTGTTTGACACCTTGAAGCACCTTGAATTTTAGTGCGACATGTAGTGAGTTTAGTTTTTTCAGTTTAACGTTGGGATTGGTTTTAGTTTTGGAAAGGCAAAAAATAAACCCCATGCTCAACGCGATGAACAAGTCTCTAAACTGAACTGACTATACTGAATCACCAGCAGACTGAAGGAGTAGCTTTTAGTGGTGGAGCTACTCTCTGGAGACTGGGTGTGCTGTTGTCAGCTCCGTTGTGATTCACAGTGCATTACTTCCTTGTTGAAAGCATATTAAAAGACCACAAAAGGCACAGGAGACAATCACAATCTGATCATTAATAATAAGCTGCTGAGCTATTGGCCTGTATGGGCTAGTTGTGTACTGAACTGAGCTTGGACCACAAACGGACTGAACGTACTAGTGAACTGAAGACTTGTTGTGGCCTAAAATGCCTGATTGTCAATGCAGCTTTTCTAAAAGAAAATCATTTTGAACAGTGTGGCGTTCACCTACTGGTTTACATACCAAAATGCCTTTTAGTGTGATGCGTTCACTTACTGCCGTCAGTGATGCATCTGTTTAGCTTTGGAAAAAAACTGAATTTAACTATGAATCTTTGACCTGAACTGAATGAAGTGACTTGGCCACGCTTCGGCACAGCAAGAATATAGTCCTGCTGTTCCTAGTTACAGTTGCTAAGCAATGATTGGACAATCAAAATTTGGCGGTGGGGTTTACCAAAGGTAAATCAATTATGAGCCATTCTCATATAGCAACTTAGTTTGGAAGCGACTAGAACTGGGAATACACCACAGATCAATGTCTGACAGGAATGGCTGTTGTTGGCAGCCCTGTGATCATCTGGTTACAGTAGTAAGACCAGCTTTACCTGTACGGAATAGAGAAAGCTGGCAGAGGTCTGAGCCTCTGTAGGCACAATGTTTTGTAACTGATGAATGATGAACACTGTGTGTGTGTGTGTGTGTGAGACGTATACAACTTACTTTCTCCTGTGTCTCTGTTTTCTCCCCTAACTGCTTCTAGTGTTTCATTGGCAGGCGACCATAATGGGTCCGGTGAGTATCACGGCATCACTTACGGCTTTCAGTGCTCTCTGTGTTTGTGCTACATTAGAAAAAGCCTCTCAGTAGCTATGGGTACTCAGATTGTTTACTATTGTTTTACATGTTCCTTGAAAGACTACGGTGATGAATGCACTCATATTACTTTGGCTCAATGCTGTTACACTGTTAACGGCAAGTGTGACATGGGATCAAGCTATTGAACTGACTTTAAGCTTGGAAATATACAGTTTTTTAAGCATTATTAGTGAATATAAACAAACAGATCTATTTAGGTAAGCCTCCCAAATACCTTCTGTATAAGGGGAGCTTTTATGCTTTTATATGAGCCTGTTCATACCTGGTATTAGCATGCATCTTGGATGATCTGATCACAAGTGGACAGTTCAAAATACGACCACGAGACACATTGTGATCTGATCGCTCAAACCACTTGCTGAGGTGGTCTGGAATGCATTTGACCACATATCCTTTGTAGCTAATGCATCCTGGGCCACATAGTATGAACACCTACTCAACTGATGTCCTGTAAGTACACAAAATGCTATTTAGGTCACTCATGCAAATTATGTGTTGTGTGGCTTTACCTGCTAAGATCAGCAGCAGATGTTTGTGAACACACTGTTTCAACTGATTTGATCACTGTATTAGTGACCACAATATCCCCAGACTCCCTTTTTTCGTTATTGATTGGGGATAACTTCATACATTTTGTGAAACACTGTCTATGGCAGATTGTTAAATATATAGGCCTTCTCGTAAATTTTGGAAATGTTACACAGTAAGTTATTTCTTACTTAGTTATCTTCCAGTGTGTTGGCTATATGTTGGTACAGTGTCCTCTACTGCCATCCACTGCGAGTGACTGTTGGGCTGACATACTTTTACTTTCTCTGGCATTATTGCCTTTCTCTGTTATCTGTGATGAAAAAAAAGTTGAAAAAGCAGTGTATTTCCTTCTCATAAAGTTCAGTAATAAAATCCCACAGTGCACCGGCGTTTCTCCTGCTGACAGTGCAGGTAAAAGCGACGGGTTACTGTGCCGCTGAACTGAAAAATAAGAACAGCAATATTGGATGCTGAGTTGGGTATAACCCTATAAAAGCATTTATCTGCATATAGAGCGAGGAAGTGAGATCCACTCACAAGTGGTCATTCGAGACGCATTCTAATGCCAGGTGTGAACTGACATAATTATAGCTGTCCACCCAAGATGCATGTTGGTTTAAACAATCTCTTAGTTTCTGTCATTAGTGTTATAATGTCAGTGGTTAATATTAAACAAGGCCAAAGTGAAAGTGATCCCTGTGAGCAAAAAGCTCAGAACTCCAACTACTCTGAATCCAACGTGTCCCATGTCTTTTTTTCCAGATAATGAGCCTAGCTGATGTCACTTGTTCTAGATAGTCTTTTTTGCAGACAGTCTCCTACACACTTGAAAGGCGAGCAGTATTCAGTTTTTTGCAATCTGCTAGATGCCACTAAATCCTACACACTGGTCCTTTAAATGACTGTTATTTGTCTCTCAGTATTGTGTGTGTGATTGGCTTGTAATTAGAAACTTCACTTGTTCAATGTGGACAGCTGGTTGGTAACAACAGAGCTGGTAACCAGCTTTGTAACCATAAGGTGACTGTAACGTGCTGATTGTCAGTCATTTAGTGCCAGCTGAATGCTTTTCATTGCCAGATGTTTTTTACTGACAGCGATGTCTCACATGTCTTATGTCAGGGCGACAGTCCTTACCAAGGAGGAGTGTTCTTTCTCACAATCCACTTCCCCACCGACTACCCATTCAAGCCACCGAAGGTAAGAGCTGCTGTGGTTACTCAAAGCTTTGTGCTGTCATATTGTAGAATTTATCATGGTTGTTCAGCAAACCTGAAAACATTTCCTATCATAAATTATGTAGTTCTACATTCTATGATTTTTCCTTAGGCATCCAGGAATTGAGCAAAACTATGCAAGTAAATTAATGTGGGGTGAGGAGTGGGAAACCTCAGACTTTGTCTGGGGGGCTCTAAATGATATTAAAACTGTTGCCATGTCCCAATTCCACATCATGTACTCATTCTTAGCAAGTTTTGAGTATGCACACTATGCTCTCACAATGCAATGCAAAAAGCAATTGAAGGAGCCGCTCAAAAACAAAAAATAATTTGGCATTAGCTTTCCAAAGCTGCTGTCTGATTGACATCTAACATCTAACAAGACTTTTCCTCATCTCTTTATTTTCCGTTCAGTTTTGGCCACTTTTAATCTCCTGGAATTGACTCTCAGTCTCAGGCTGCCAGCTTTAACACAGCAACGTTTCACACAAATATGAAACACATTTAAAATAAAATTTGCGTGGCTCTCAGTGAGAAAATATTTATCATTTTTGGTTGTTGGTGGTATTTTCTGCTTGAGCTCTTTAAAATGTACTTTTTAGAAGTAAATAATTCCATATTTATTACTGTATGTATATATATATATATATATATATATATATATGGATATGTTTGTTTGAGTCCTTTCACATTTGAACTAGATGATGTTCTAGTAGTAGATTTTGTAGTTTGTGTTCAAACAATTGTGAAATGCAAGTTTCCTCTCTTTGTTCAGCAGTGGTACCATGGCAGAGAACCACCAGAAAAAAGTAATAAAGAAACAATAACTGTGTAGATTTAAGATTACCGTTTGACTTCATTACTGTAACAGCACTAGAGACTCACTTTGAACAGAACTTCTTGCTTTCAGGCAAACACTAGTACAGTAACTATGGAAGTGAATACATACCTGTGTGAATAAAATGTGACTTTTTTTTTTATAGGTAGCGTTTACAACAAAGATTTATCACCCAAATATAAACAGCAATGGGAGTATCTGTTTGGACATTCTACGGTCACAGTGGTCTCCAGCACTAACAGTCTCTAAAGGTAACTGCAGTTTCCTGTTGCTATCACTGTATCTAAGGTAGAGCTCAATAGATTATTGGCCAACATATTGGTATCGACGTATATGTTGTATGAGTGCCAATATGAAAACATTTTCTTAATAATATAAAGTAATAAATTGTAGTGGTAATATATTGGTGTCACTGCCAGGTTTATCAAGCAGAGTGTGCTGCGATCTACAATACTGTGTCAAGCAGCACAGAGTAAGAGAGAGGAAGCAGCGTCAACTAGAATCGGTTGACAATGTGTTAGATTATTTAACATGTTAATAAAGATATTTGTTTAAGAAAGCTGCCTTCTGAGTACCTTTTGTAGAGTCATGTTGTTGTTGTTGTTGTTGTTGTTGTTGTTGTTGTTGTTGTAGATGTAGATCTATTTTCAATCCAGTACAAAAATCCACTGTATCAGCAGTCATTACATCCACTACCGCTCAAAGGTCTATGGTCACCTGCCACAAAAGCTTGATTTGGTACAGTTAGATGGCTGAGGAAACTAGTCTGTATTTTTGAATTGTCTTTTGTGCTTTTGCCAGTTGGTCAGTCATGCTTTTCTGGACTGGAAAACATATTCAAAATAAAAGGTATTTGGGAGGGGAAATTGTTTCAACAGTATTACACTGTGGGGGCATCAACTAAATGGAAGTTTTAATCCTTGCATTTAGGGATGCACGATAGTGGGACATTTATATTATTGTGAATTATTAGGATAATTAGATAACAGCTGCTAAATTATCGGTCCATAAACATTTGATGGGTTTTATGTTCTATTAAAGCCAAAGTATGTTTGTGAAGTTTCTTGATGAACTTTACTAGAAAAAATGAAAATAAATAAGTTTGATGAGTCAGAACTGTTAACAACCGTGAGGTCAGATGGATTTGGTAAGAACAGAGCTATGGAATATTAAATCATCCATCTTTGTTTACTACATGTTAACCATCTTCAGGCGTCAGGTTATGAGCTTTTTAATACAAAAATGTGAAATTATCGTTATCGGGCATCAACTTCTTTCATTATTCTTCTTTTAGGGCCAAACCTATTTCAAATGTAAATCATTGATTTGGTGCCTCAATTAAACTGTTTTTATCTCTGTTTAAATAGCCAATATTGAAGGAAAGAAAAATGTAACAGATGACACTAAACTTTGTAGGGGTAGTGTACATATAAGAAATGGTACTGACCAACATCTTTCTGTCCAGACAGGAAGTTAAGATGTGGAATATGAGACTGAAAATGGCATATTTTGGAAATGTAGCCCTCCTTGTGGTCAGTACACTGGTACTGATTCATGTAGAATGTACCTTTTGAAACCTAGATTCTTTGTAGTTTGCTTCTTGTTTCTCTCCTGGGAATACTTTGTCCCTAACATAGCTAATGAATGCAGTGCTGTTCAGCATTTCAGTCTATAGTTTTATACAGCATACCCTCCCCTTCCACCTCTCACACAGGACACTGTTGGTGTCTACTTTAGGATCTGTCAGGAGTTGGCTCATCCTTTATCTACATGTTATCTAACGTGATCTTTTGTTCTTCCTCTTCCTTGCAGTTTTATTGTCCATATGTTCGTTGCTTTGTGATCCAAACCCAGACGACCCTTTAGTTCCAGACATAGCACACATCTACAAGAACGACAAAGACAAGTGAGTATGCATACAGGCTCAGCTGGTGCTTTATTGTCTAATCCTCCGCTCACTTCTCTCTCTCCTTTTCTCTCCTCAGATACAACAGACTAGCGAAAGAATGTACCCAAAAGTACGCCATGTAAAAAAAAAAAAAAAAAGAAAACCATCAAAGGAAAAAAACATGCTGAGAATATTTCTTTTTCCTCCCTTTTTTTAAAGTCACAACACACTGTAAATTATAGTATAGAATCATTAAGTAACCCATGGTAACCTCCATCAACCTCATTAACATAATTACTGATCAGACCATGATGTGTACATTATTAGTTTTTGAAAGGAAGCAGAGGGTTTTACTTTACCTTTGGTCATTTTATGGATAATGATGGATTTTAAAGGTAAGCATGTTTTTGCATCAAGGACATTTTATTTAAAACATATGTTTATTACAGATTGCTTTACAGAATTCTTCTTTTTTTTTTAAGTAAAACTAGTGAATTATAGAACATGTATGCCACTATATGCCATTCAGCAGCAGAGGAGCTCAGTAATAGCATACACGTTTGTCAAAAAGCTGCTCCATAGCTGGAAAATCCCAGGTTCAGTCCCTGCTGCGTCCAGCAGCAGCCAACTAGAAACACACTGCACCATGGGAATGTGGACAGGTGAATGCCAAATATGTAAGCCCCTTATTCTGGCACGTCTGTAAAACAAAGGAATACTGAAAATGTCCCCTTTAACCTGACAACTTCACCTCAGCTTCATGTAGTGGGCAATGGAGGTTTTTGTTGAGTTCTTTTGCATCTTGTAGCAGACGAATGAAACTGAAAATGGGAGCAATTACAAGTCAGATCATGTATTTCTGTGTTCTTCATCTCTTTTTTGTTATTATTATTATTATTAAAATTATTGTTATTATTAATTGTATAGTATTAAAAATTCCCTTGAACTATGTTATTGTTTTACTCCGTTTCATTTGAGTCATCACAATGTAAATCTGTCAATAAAACAATGTACTTTTTTCCCCTTGAGTGTAGCTGTGATGTTGGCTTTTTGGTTGGATTTACACAGGCACATAGCTCTTGAACCCAGTGAAACATGTATCTAAGGGTTCAATATGTTCTGTTTAAAAATCCAGTTCTCTGTCCCTGTGTCTCTCACTTGTGTCTCTGAGATGTGTGGCACCTTTTGTACTGAATTAAAGAATGGTACGGTTTTTATCATGACTGTATGCTCTATGGAAGGCAGTTTCTTTCTCTTTTATGTAATGGTGTTCTGTTGTTCTAAATCAGAGAGCGTATTGTATGGCGATAGTTTGTCTCATTTAACATAATTCACAAGTAACATTTTCCCAGGCCTAAACTGAAAGTCTTTGACCAATATGGCACATTGTGTTTGCAAAACACTCCAGGTCTTAAATATGATTTTGATAGGTCTCAAAAAATGATTGGATGAATTAAGTTCATGCTACTTTAAGTTGCATTTTTTTTGTCTTACTTTTAAATGTGGTGTCAATGAACTGGTTCAGCCTTACTTTGTGCTATATGCCTGTGCCTTTATAGTATGTGCCAAAAGGCAAGCAAGCCTCTCATAGCATGAATTCTTTTCTCCAAAGATCAGTCCCTCCAGAAAGTTGTGGTTACAACAAGAAACTTTAAATTCAAACAATGTCTATGAATTCTGCGCAACCTTCTGCAGCCTTGTTAGACATTCAGAGTTCTACAGGTAAATTCTATAAGCTCTTTTTTTGAAAAAGGATTTGAAACCAATGAAAAAGTGTTAGTACATTTGCAGGATAAGACTCCTGCCGTGCTCAGAAGGTGATGATGAAGATCAAATGGATCCCAACTTCAATAAATGTGTGTCAAAAATGTATATGGTCTAATCCAGTTATAGATACTTCTAGCCAACAGTAGCTAGCATTAAATGGTACAAAAGCATACACAGAAATGCTAAGGAAAACCTTAACTAGCATTAACAGACACAAAGAATGCGTTATGGAGAAACTGAAAGACACTAAGATAGTAATTTTATATGTTAAAATTTAAATACATGCTTGAACCAAAGCAAAATATAAATAGCAGACAGAGGATTAAAGCTGCAGTAGATAACTTTAATAAAAATAACTGCTGAAATGTAATCCATGATTCCAATATCAGGTAGGGTTTATAATGGCATTTGAAAGACCTGAATGAAAACATCCAATCAGAGCCAAGAAAGATAGTTGACTGTGCACTATCATTCCCAGGTTGTGAAATACCAGTGCAGGTAATGAGACTCAATAATCATCTTATCAATATCTTAAAGCCACCGACCCAAAGCGTCTTTCTATCTTTCTGTGCTCAGGATGGTTGTTTTTTATAATTCTTATAAAAAGTGCCTACTGCAGCTTTAAGTGGCAGAACATATTCAGATTTAACCATGGCTTGATTAAAAATAAAACAACGGCTTTGTTCAAAACAGGAAGAAAGAATACATAAGCATGTATGACAGTATAGGCTCTGTTAGAACAGAAAGAAAACATATAGACCAGGTTGCCAGAGCCATACTGTATGGCTTAACAACTGCATTCAGACACTTCAGATTCAGGTTTATTTTCTTTACTTTTCACAATTTGCCTTATTTTGATGCATAAACATAACTTACAAAATAAAAGTACAGCGTCAAGAAAAGTCAAGACTCATATTATAAAACAGAAGAATTCACAATCTCTGTTTTTAAAATAAAAAGAGCTGTACAGTGTTTGAAAGAGGGTGGAACGTACAAAATATTGACCAATGAATGTGCAAATGTTCACAGCATGCGTATAATCATATGAAGTGAGATAATAATCCAAGAAATGTTAATGTGAGGCACCGAGTCAGATGTAATCCACAAGGTCACCACATGACCAATCTCCCACCTGCAGGCAGACTCAGCCCCCTGGAGCTGAGCCCGATGAGGACGCAAACTTCAGCTTGGTCTAGTTTTAGTTTAGTTTTTATTAGTTTCAGTAATTAGTTTTAAAGTTTAAAGAGTTATTTTTCAGAAAAGTTCTGAATATGAACATACGCCTCCTCATGTTTGTTATGATGACTAATTTGACCAAATTGACTAAAACAAAAGATAATTAGATTGCTGGAATTATAAGCTATAAGCAGTTTCTCAGCTGTAAAACTACTTAACTATGTTCTGTAAGCGTACACCAACAGAACTGTAGAATATAACAAACATGGCAATGGCGCCCCCTGCTGGCTACAGATTGCATTGGCCCAATGTAGGGGCTCTAATCATTGACAGCACTTTTAAATAAGGGACCCTTTTCTAGCATTCAGTAAACTGACGCAATGAAATATTTTATGGATATTTCATATTATATATCTGATAAAGTGAACAATGAACACAAACAGTGAGCAGAGTTTGTGTAAAACAAGCGATTGGTGTGGATTTGTATTTAGTCTTTTTTATTATTATTTCCTGTAAATATAGCATCAGAGGTGAGTTTTTCTGATATTTTTAAGTTAATAATAAAGTTAATAAAACAAAAGTAGTAAAGGCATATTTCCCACAATCCACCGGAAGAGATCTAGGGAAACTTGGCAAAATACATGGAATAATGACATCAAGGGTAGGGACTATTATACAATTCAAACATCAGTGAGAGTAAGAAGTAAGAAGTAAAAGCAGAAAAGAATCAGTCTAGGTCATACAAGGTTAAACGCTACACTATAACGTTACATTATGAAAAAGACAGATTTGAATCAAATACTTAAATGAAACAGGTCAATAAACTGAATAGACTTCCAATATAGTCATGTTTTTTACACACTCCGATACAGTAGGTGGCAGCATACACCTTTAACGTTGGTTTGTAGCCCGCCAGAAAACCAAACAAGAAGAAGCAGAAGCAGAAGAAGAAGAGCAGCAGCAGCAGCTCTTCCGAGGCGCCTTTCGTAGCGTGTCTCTGTTGGCAGGAGCACGAGACACTCGGCTGCAGTGAAAAATATAACAACATCAACAACAACAAGACGTTTCTCTGCCGTCACACTGCTATATAACGGCCTCCAGCGTTCACTGACAGCGACATGGCGACGTTCAGCTTAATGCCAGTTTGTGTTAGCTGGCTGGCTAAGTCCTTCAAAGTCTTGTCCTGCACAAGTACTCTGGCAAGGTAGCTTACCGGAACTTCCTTTACTGTGCTTATTGGTTGTGGCAGAGCCGAGTTAGCACGCTATCTTTAGCATGCTCTCGTCTGTATACTGGAGGTCGGCACGTATTTGTCTCAAGATAAATTAGGTGACTGAAAAGAGAATGCTGTTTGGATAGGCTAGCGTTAGTTAGCATTAGGATATCTGAGTCGTTAATAAGTGAATGAAATGACTTTGTGACCCTCAACTAATGTGTTATTCACTAACCAGACTTTTCCCTGGGAGTGTAATGCAGTGTCAGGCCTCAACGGTTGGGGGAAAGGAAATGCAGTGTGTGTTTGTGTGTCAGTGTGAAGACGCTCTTTTAAGCCATTCCCAAACTTGACTCATTACATTCAAAGTAATGCCCACGTGGTCATGGCAGGTACAGCAGTGTGTAGCTCTGTACTGTCAGTGGTTTAGCCTCTTGTAGTTTGATTCCCTATCTGTCTATATTGTTGAGGAGGTCAAAGGGGAGAGAGTGAAACCTCGTGCTGGGCATATTTTTTAAGATCCCGCCGCTCTCACGGTATATCATTAGACATGTTTATAGTGGCTTATTCGACTGCCAGGTATACATTGAATTAGAAACATTTTACTGCCAGCGTGTGCACAATGTAAACAGTTTTTATTGTGCAACTGCAATGTAGTAAAAACGGAACTTAAATCTAAAGATATGTACACAGCTTTTACCAGGCCTAAAATAGTAGTATTATTAAGACTATGAACTGACATAAAATACTTAAGTATTAAGAGATTTCTAAGATGTTCTATTGCACAAAAAACAGTAAACTGAATATCTTTGGGTTGTGGACAAAACAAGACATTTGAGGACGTCTCTTTCGGCTTTGAGGAACAGTGATCAACATTTTTCACAATTTTCTGGACCAAATAGCTAATCAGTTACAGAGAATATGATCATCTGGTTAATTTATGATGAACATAATTGTTACTTGCAGCTCTATTTTCAGCCCTATCAGTTAATCTTGTGAAGTCCATGAAATAGTAAAAAATGTCCACCACAACTTTCCTGAGTCCAAGAAGATGTCTTCATATGTGATGTTCTGTTTGACCCTCTGAAAACTCAGAAATACTCAGAATCACTCAATGCTATATGACAAAGAAAAGGAACAACTTCACAATTGTGGCTTGAAAAAGACTGAAATGACGACTTGTGTATCAAAGTAGGTACTTTTTCTTTAATATACATTGGCCAATCATTGTGTGTGTGTGTGTGTGTGTGTGTGTGTGTGTGTGTGTGTGTGTGTGTGTGTGTGTGTGTGTGTGTGTAGGTGTACCAGTGTCCTCCCAGCTACATACATCAACCCAGTGAGATGTCTGACCTCCCAGGCTGGTGACCCTCCAAAAAAACCTCTGAATGTATTCATAAGATATGTACAGCAACAGCGGCCAATCCTGACCAGACAAAACCCAGGTAAACCTGCAACACTTCATATGTCTGTAGAAGGCAGCTTTTTTTTGGGGGGGAGGCTTTTATTGCCCTTTTTTTTATTGATAGTGACAGCTGAAGGTAGACAGGAAAGGGGGGCAGAGAGAGGGGATGACACACATCCAAGGGTCGCAGGTCGGATTCAAACCCTGGGCCAGTGCAGCAAAGACTCAGCCTCAGTACATGGGTAGCCAGCTCAACCCACCGAGCGAAGGCAGCTTTAAAGTAAAATTGGTTAATTTTTCAATTAATTATTGATTTTACCAACCTGCTGCACTGATATGGCAATAACAACTTGTAGTACTTAAACATAAGCAATGTGATTTTATTTGCTTTCAGAAATGAAATCAACTGATATCCTCAGTAAGATCGCCCAGCAATGGAGAGTAATGAGCCCAGAACAGAAAGAGGTATTTCAGTGCTTTACTTGTTGAACATTCTAAGCTGCTTTTTATTGACGTTTTTTAATTGTGCCTGTACAGCATACATTGAAGGGTAAGGCAGTGAGTGGCAAATTATCTCTCTGATAGTGTTTAAGTGTAAAACACATTCACAGCACAGTCTCTTCATGTCGTTTGTTGTGACCAAAAAGTTTTTGTTGATCTCCCTCTCCCTTTCAGCCGTTTATGGAAGCCTATGTGCGGGACATGTCGCTGTTTAAGGTAGAGCTAGAGCGCTACTGGGCCGAGAGTACCCCAGAGATGCGCCAGAAACTAACCCTGGAGAAAATGGAGAAAAGTGCCAAGATTGCTGCCCGACGCAAAAAGTTGGTAAGAGAGATGGGAGTAGCTGGGGAGCAGTGCCGGGCTGCTCTTTTGTCAAGAGACAGGGTGTTTGAAATGACATACTGACGTACTATTCATACCAAGTATGACGTCAATTGAAGTGTGTTTCAACTGCATAGTATATGAAGTGTGTGTGTGTGTGTTCGTTCCAGGAGAAAGGCCGCCTGGGGCATCCCAAACGTACTCGCTCTGCAGTCAACATTTACATGTCAGAACACTTCGAGGACGGCAGAGGAACCACCACAACGGTAACCAACACAACATTTAATGGGACGGTTCAAATTGTTTGACATAATGAAGTATGACACACTCACTGGTTGGGCTGTCACAAAAACCGATACTTTGCTACCAAGTCCATACCAAAATTCTGAAAACGTGACCATCCTCATTTATCTACAGTACTGAAGGTTCAATGATGCAATTCTTCCAGACCTGAAAGTGCAGCTTATACGCATACAATAGCCTTTTGTTATTATTTATTACATTGTTATTTAGTACAAAATATTTAGTTAATAGGCAATATAATTGCCTATTAAATATATATTTTGATCTGATACTCAATATAAAATAGAGATTGGGGCACAAAAACTTGAAAAATAACATTTTTACCGCCGTATTCAATTGGTATCAAGTATTGTGGAATTTCACTGGTATTGGTATGAACTTGTATATTTCCGGTATCGCGACTCACTGACATCCTTACTCACTGGTAGTAATTGATACATGGACTGCTCTTCCAGTGAAAAGTCACAGTATGGCTCTGAATTGAATTCTGGGCAACGGTCCCCTCTAGGGGTAATGGGAGACAATGACACCCGAAGTGTGTTTTGGTCACTGTCACTGCAGAAAACCCCGCTTCACAAAGATAGGATGTTGGCAAGGGAAGCAGGGTTTTCAGTGCTTTTGTGGCAATCTCAGGATATTCTGCCTTGATTTTAATCCAGAACACTGGCAGAGTTGTCTCAAACATAGTTTTAAGGCCACCGTCATTTTCACTCTCCAGTAGTTGATCTTCTGGCATGGACGGGCTCGATTCTCTGGTTTGTTCACAAATGGATTGCGGGATCCGTTCTTTCGCAGTTAGTGGGTCTTCTGTGGTTGGGAAGTACCGCTCAAACTCTTTTAAAAGCAAAGACAGCTGGGAGAATAGCGTTTCAGGCTCAGTCTCTTCCAAAATCCCTGCTAATGTTTGAAACATGTCAAATATCCCTCTGTTCACTCGCCGTCCGTTGTCAATATCAGTAGACTCGTTAACCTGGATTGCGTACCACAGTGATTTATTAATCCTCTCCAACAATTGTGTCTCAATGTCCCCTGCTATTTCCTCAATTTACCTAGTGAGGGTTGTAGCTGAAAGAGGAACCTGTGCTATCTTCTTAACTGCGGCCTCTCTTAGAAGTTCACGGCAAATGTCCTTAGCGGTGGGCAGGATCAATTCTTCACCAATAGTAAAAGGTTTCTCGCCTCAGCAATATTTTTAGCCACTAAGAATGATGCTCTCAGTGCACTCACATTTGTTGATGTGGTGGCCATCAGTACTTGCTTCTGTCCTTCTTGTTCACGTTTTTTTCTTTCAAAAAGGTCCAAAGGCTTGTCTTTTAATGCAGGGTGCTTGGTCTCCATGTGCCGAAGCAGTTTTGAGGGCTTCATTGCCTCGTTTGCTAGCTTGCTAGCTGTCGCCACATATTATGGAGAGCGGGCTTGGCGAGAATTTTTCAAAATAAAACATCTTTCACACTTTGATCAGTGGACCATCTCACCCTGCTCTAACCCTCCAGGTGTTCTCTGGTGCAGATGTGGTGTATATTTTACAAGCACAGACCAGGTAAAGCAACAATAAACAGGAGTTAACACACCAGTTTGCTCGTTGTTAATCAAAATGACCGAAAACAACGTGGTACCAAATGACATTGGCCCTAGCTGATATGTTCGCTACTGTTCACTGTTGCTTGTCCGTGCTTGTAAAATATCCACTATTTCTACACCAGAGAGCGTAGTTAATTGATTACAGATATTTACTACTTTGATGAGGCAATGGTGCAAAAGACAATGCTAGAGAGATGTGTAAAATATTTTGGGTTTATTATGAAACTGGTGGGACAAATTAGGCCGTGGCGAACGCCACAGTCTGTAATTGCTGGCAAAGGCGGTCCTCTTTGCAATTCAGAAGTGTGCAGAGTTTTGCTACTTCTGTGCCAATCTCTTGCTGTTTCCCACTCTTTTTTGTTTTGTTTTGAAACTTTATTTTTCAAAGTTTTCACAGTACAATTATACAAACAGCCCCGACCCCACCCACCCACCCAAGGGTACACATAATACACACACATACACGGTTAAAGAGAAAGGAAATTAAAAAAAAAAAAAGTCTGCCACCTTTAAGGCTAAATTTAACATACTAAAAGACACCCTATAAGTTTTGTTAGTGAGTGACTGTTCATACATAATGTAATTGTACTGCACCCAGCTTCCCACCAGACCGGCTGTCACGCGTGCAGTCGAGGATCAAGAGAAGGGCAGATTGTCTGTGAATTGTAAGAAAGGACTCCAGGTGTTGTGAAATCTGTTAGAGGATTTACCCCTAGAGTATCTAAGTTTTTCTAGGGGTAGAAAAGCAAGGACTTCTTTTACCCAGCAAAGGAAAGATGGGGGATTAGCAGACTTCCATTGTCGTAGAATAAGTCTCCTAGCTAAAAGTGAAGCAAATGCAATAGCACGTGCTTGGGTAGAAATCTGAACCTCCCCAGCTGTAACACCGAAGACAGCGGTGATAGGGTCTGGTGAGATGGGCCTGCCACATATATGTGTAAAAGCCTCAAATATCTGGATCCAGAAATTTTTCAGTGCTGGGCAGGACCAGAACATGTGCCCAGTAGTAGCTATGCCTTGATGACATCGCAAACAATGAGGGTCGGTGTTTGGATAGATGGCAGCCAATCCATCCCTAGAGAAGTGAAGCCTGTGTATGATCTTAAATTGCATCAGATTGTGTCTAAGGCACAAAGAGGAAGTGTGGATGAAATCTAGGCTACCTTCCCAGGTCTGTGGTGAGAGTTGGACGCCAAGGTCCTGTTCCCAAGCACATCTAGTCTTCTCTGATGAAGGCATACTGAAATTGAGAATGATGTTGTATATAAAAGAAATGTTGCCCTTAAGGATTGGATCACGCCCCAATATTCTGTCAAGCAAATCATAATCAGGTAGGTGTGGGAATGGGTAGTGTTCTCTAGCAAAACTACAGGCCTGTAAGTACCTGAAGAAGTGAACCTGAGGTAATGTAAAATCCTTATGCAAAGTCTCAAATGAAATGAAGGTGCTGCCTACAAATAAATCTTTAAAAAACACTGCCATTATCATACCAAGAACGAAAAGCTGGGTCGGATTGTGCAGCAGGAAAAATATCATTAGTCAGGGGCAAAAAGCCACTTGTATGAGTACGGTTAAAGCGTTTCCTGAATTGACACTATATTCTGAGAGAGTGTTTTGTCACAGGATTTGAAGAAGAATAGTTAGATTTCTTAGAAAAGGAAGTACAAAGGCTAGGTAATGGTGAAAAAGAGGGACATATTTCAGTTTCCATGGCATCCGAAGTAGGGCTTTGCCCTGTTCTGAATGATGTAATCCAATAGGGCAATTTGGAGAGATTGGCTGCCCAGTAGTATAACATGAAGTTGGGAAGTGCAAGTCCACCAGCTGATTTAGGCATCTCTAAAATAGCCCTTCTTGCTCTTGGGACAGATTTGTTCCAAATAAATAATGAAATATGTGAATGATTGGCAAGGTAGACCACCAATTCAGATTGAGTTTCATATTTTCAAGGAGCTTTTTAAAGTTGGCCTCGTATAAATTCTTGTAAGAGCGTGTGACCACAATACCAAGGTAGGTAATGGATTCTCTGTCCAGTCTAAATGGGTAAGCATTAAAATTAAGATTCTGTGCTTAACTGTTAATAGGAAAAACGCTTTTGGAAAGATTCAGCTTGTAGCCAGATATCCTTTTAACATCGTCCAGTGGATGGGTGATATAAGGTAAGGAATCTGTAGGGTTAGAAAGATACAGAAGAAGGTCATCAGCGTAAAGTGAAACCTTGTGGGTAAAGCTCCCCCTAACAATTCCAGACACTCTATTGTCAGCTCTGAGAGCTATGGCCAAAGGTTCAATTGCAAACCAGGTCCAAACATAATGCAAACCAGTGAGGAGAATAATAATAATAATAATAATAATAAAATACAATAAAATATCACCTTAACAGCCCACACAAATGACTATTGTGGCTTTGGCAGTCCTTGTTGTCTTAATAACTTATATTATGATCAGGTATAATACAAAACAGTGAGGAAAAGAGAAAAATAATAATAAAATAAATAAATTGACAGTCCTCACAAATGACTAATGTGGCTTTGGCAGTCCTTGTAAAAAGAAGTCCAAACCTAACTCCTGGGACGTCCTTCAGCATCCGCCTGACTTCGTTGAATTCCGTTCACGCTTTGGCCACTCGCGCAGTGAAATCCGGGTAGATAGAGATGGTCATGCCGTCAACTTGGATCTTCTGTTTGGTTTTTGCCAGGCGCAGGATATCATTGCAATCCTTGTAGTAGTGAAGACTATGACAGTCCTGGCCGGTTGCCCTCCTTGTGCAGCTGCGGCTGTAATGATCGGTGCGATCTGTCAACCACGGGTGCTTTTTCCAAGTTGAACGCATCTTTGAGCAAAAGCAAAAGCTGAAATCTCTGAAGTGGAACAACTGCTAGGAGATTCAGGAATTCCAACAATCCTTACATTATTTCTCCGCGATCTCCCTTCTTAATCTTCACATTTGTTTTGAAGGGTTTCAGTCAGCTCCGTCAAGTGCCCCACATTGCGTTGTAGTGTTGTGACATCGTCACTGCATGTGGACAGACTGTGCTCTGCGCTAGCTAGCGTGCTGCGTAGCTCGGCTAATTCTGAGTTAGTTGTGTTTTTGAATTCCTACAAACCTGATTTCAGAGACTTCCGACTAGAGGAATCCAAGTTCGCTTTCGTGCACAGACTGAACCTCCTTTTCATTGCACCAACTAGGTCGTTCAAAATCGAGAGGCATAGCTGGAGAGCCCTCTCCCGCCGACCCTGGACTCGGCGGAGAACACTTCGACGCAGATATGGTTGTTTGTCGTGTTTTCCCAGGTTTGGTCGAACTCGCAAGCACGTCTAGCAGTTACACAAAGCAAAAATGTCTTTGTTTATATTGCTGTTTAAAGAGGTTGCCTCTGAAAATAGTAGTTTAAACGTAGTTTCCTGCAGAGCTACACAGACACACGTCCTACTCCATGCTTGCTCAGCAGCACCCCTCTGTTTTCCACTTTTAAACAGTTTATGGGTAACATGACATGTAACTGGGATACATATGATATGATACATATGAGTGTCCATGGCCTTATACCGTACCATATTCATTGATACTTTTTTGCTAATGTTTCTTCAGGAAAAGATGGGGTCACTGATGGAGAACTGGAAGAACATGCCCAGTCATGAAAAAGAGGTTGGCCACACAATCATTACATTTGATTCATTCTTGTAGTTATAAGGCTTTCATATCATTGTGCAGAAGACCTTTAGTGTTCATAATCCAGAGCTCCTCTTTGTTCCCTGTCTCAGGTCTATTTACAGCTGTCCCAGGACGACCACATTCGCTACGAGAACGAGATGAAGTTGTGGGAGGACCACATGCTGGAGATTGGACGATCAGATCTGATCCGGAAAACAGTGAGGAAGGCCGCTGCCATCACAAAGTCAGAGACGTCCAGGAAGACGACAGAAAGGAGCAAAAATGTGAAAATATAATCTACTGAGGGAAAAGTGTTCATGACAACTTTAGACAGACATCCTGATTCCGGGCCACTAACTTTAACAAGTTCCCAGTTGTCATAAATGCTTCTTAGGTCCAACAGCGCAAAGCTTTTCTGTCATTCAGACAGATGATTTTACAGTGAAAATGACACCATATAAACTTGATGAGGTAGAGTGTGGTTGTTCCAGGATAAGAAAGTGAGTTACTTGATGAGATATGAGGTGTTCAAGTGATTATAGGAGGTACAGATACTGTCTGCATTGTTTCAGAAGCCCTGAGTGTAACAACAGTGTACTTGAGGGCAGGTTACTAATGCCGTCTCCAAAACAACCACTTTTCTATTTTTGGTGTTTTTTTTATTTTTGGTGTTTCATCATGTAAAGAATACGTTCTGTTGTAATTCTCTATTTGTCTTGTCAACAAATCCATGAGAAGACCCCAAACAACAATGTGTTAGCCCATCTCTCTGACTTCCTTACTGTCTGTGGCTCTCAGCCCCAGGCCCATTTGTTCCTACTAAAGATGTAAATCTTTAAAATCAGCTCTCAATTTGAAATCAGAGTTGGCGAAAGTACTTGAAAGTGCTTGGAATTACTGAACAATAAAGAGGTCCTTAAAGTGCTTGAATTTAACCAGCCCTGTACCAAGATTGATACACTTTTGTCTAGAAGTTCCACAATAATTGGGAATTAACCAGGGAAGTAGTAAATTAACATATCCAAATCACTATTGATGCAAAAAAAACCGCCAGACTTGAAAATTCAATATTGAATAAATGAATATGAATGAATATTCAGTAAACATTTTCTCAAAATGACGTATTGCTTACCCTTAAAACCAAAAATCTGTGGATTCATAATCAGTACAACTACTAAATATTACATACCGATTCTTTGATGAGGTCGACGGTAATGGCCTGAGGCTTTATGTTATTTATTTTTTAATTGTGTTTTCCAACCTAAAAGAACTTTAAAACAATATTTGACAAAAGCCTCTGATCATTACTGGCTATTCAGTTATTGATCACAATAAAGCAAGCAAAAGTTCTGTCTCAATGTGTTGGGCCTGAAAATGGTTCCACATATTTAATGAGACATTACCTAATTTGCACAAAAGAGTAATTAAGCTCTAATACAAGTCTTGTCTTTGGGTCTGTATTTATCTGGCAGTTCATCCTGATGGAATATGAGGATTTTCTTTCACCTGGCTTAAAACCCAATTCAGGTACCTTTCTCTGGGTTGGGCTGGTATATGTGAACAGCAACACCCCCCCCTTTTTTAAAAGGTTAATTTCTCCTATCACTTTTTGTGGGTCTTGTTGAAAATAATGTAGAATAACAGCAGCCTTATCCCTTGCAGAGTCAACAGGAAAGTGCCATTGTTTGCCAAGTTACAGAAAGCACTTCCTCTAAAGATCACATTGTCCAATGAATGCAACCTGACTGAATTCTTAGTTTCATTGCTGTTAGTGTAGCATAAGCTTGTACAGTTGCAACCTTAAACTGTGAAATCCCACTGTTTCTCTCTTATGGCATAAGTAACATAAACTGATATTTATTTTTTAAACACCAGAAGTTCCAAAGTATACATCATTCCAGTCAGGCTTTATATTTTGTTCTGTCAAAAAAACAAAAATGTGTCCATCCAAATGATTGCTGTGATGGCATAAAACTCCCCACCCAGCTGTCCTGACCCCACTATATGATGTCGGTCATGAACCACTGTCACATAAACAACCTCACATTATGTTTAAAGAAATGTCAGTTAATAATCCTAAAATCCAGATTTAATACTCATACTTCTGTTAATTATGAAGAACTTATTTTCAGTATTGACAGTTTTTGCTTGTAGGATGCATTTAGTGCTACCGTATCAGATGGCTTGTTTTCTTTGTTTTTGTGTACTCAATAAACATTTGTATTTCTACAAAATAGCCTTTATGGTGCCTAAAAAACTAGTTGTTTTCGGTTTTAATTTGTGCTTTTTAAAAATAACAGTGAATCAGAATCAGGTTTATTGCCAAGTGGGTTTTCACTTAAAGGAAAACTAGACGGACTTTTAGAAACTTGAGACTGGAACACACAAACACACAATATTAGTTTTTGCAGTTTTTTGGTGATGCTTATTTAATTGTTAAATGCTGTTGGGGTATGGTTTTGTGCAGTTTGACTGAACTATTATATATTTTATTTCAGTCAGTTAAATGACGTCTATTCCATACTCGCTCTCCCTTAAATACGTCACATTCTGAAATCTACAGCATAACCCAATGTATTTCTCAGTTTGATTAAGTAGTTAAAATTCCATCAGTCACTGGCTAAAATAACCATGTATATTAGATAATAATGTGTATGGAATAATGGAATTATACATCACTTTGTTTTATTTTGATATCAGCATAACATACCATCCATTGGTCATCCTGCTCTCTAAATATCAGCATCAGTCATTGAAAAACCCATATTGCCTACTAATATTTTCTTTATGTGAAAGGCAAGTTATTCTAGTGAAATCTGCATTGAAGTTGCAGTTGACAGTGTTGCATAATGTCAGATCAGGTCTCGCAGAATGCACAGGGATTAGTTGAATTTACATCACAACCTTTTGGAGGCAATGATTAAATGTTTGTATAGTATCTGTCTCATGTACTACTGTCAGGAAACTGAACATTTCAGCAAATATGACAAAAAGTCATTATTACAAAAGTTACCTACTGCAGCTTTAACACCAAGCATGTGGGTGGAAATCTACATCTGTTGCACCATGATTTACAGTCAACAGTGACAACAGCATATACTGACCACACTCAATAAATTTACTGTAGAATAACAAGTTTATTTGTACAGCCTCTCTCAAAACCAATTTTAAAAAGTGCTTTACACATCAAAACAAAGATTCAGAAACAAAGAATGCATTACAAAAAACAGTACAACCTACAGTGTACAGAGTATAAAACATAAGATATTAGCATAAAAGGTCAAATATTATCAGGATGAGTTTGAAGAAGTGATTTAAAGTTGATAAGGCAACCCTGGCATCATTAAAGCAGGTCATTCCAGAGCCACGGCTCGCTCTGGTCTACAGTCTAGAGCAGTGGCTCGCACCCTTTTTTCGATACACGGTAGAGAACTAATACACAAACAGTGAACACAGTAACTGCAGGAAGGTTGTGTAAATGTACATTTTGAGCATATTATTTCAAGTGAATATTGATCAGAGACTTTTTTTCATACAGACTTAATAGGCTTCTTTTTGACTGTTTTCTTCTCATTGTTCTATTAGCTCTTTGGTTGTTTTGACTGCATACTTTTCTACTGCAGGATGAGGCTGTTTATCAGAGAGTGGAGGCTCTGTGAATACAGCTTGTGTTCAGGTCTGTAATACTCTAAACTATAAAAAAATGTTTTGTTTTTCTTCGCAGAAATGAACAAAATGCTGAGAATTAGCATTATCTATAATTTAAACACAAATCAACAACAACAATCCTTGCAGCCCCACGTGAAGCTATGGTGACCCCTGGTGGCCTGACCCCCAGGTTGGGAACCACTGTTCTAGACACGGGACGATCCAACAGGTTTGTGTCTGAAGACTTGAGGCTGCGCACAGCATGGACATAGAGTTGATCTGGAGCCATGACTAGCTTTAATCTTTATATACCATGCCACGGCTGGAGTCCCTAACATCTGGTTTCTGTGCTGTAACTGTTCTGGAAGCCTGACTGAAATTGTCCAAAAACATTATCTGAAGGGGCTTCCAGAAACTCTAATGAAAAGACTTTGGCAATAGATGAAAGTCTTGAGTTAAACAACTGTAGGTCAGCAACATCTGGATTTACAGATTATGTTAAATTGTAAAAAAATGAAATGATGCAGCAAAAAACCCAAACAATTCACATCACAAACAAACATCTAAAAACAATATTTAAAATGCTACAATAAAGTGTGCTAAATGCTACAAAAGGTCCAAACTGTACATCAGTGCAGTAAGTGGTTGAGCAGTCCAGGGATTTGAATTTGCATCTTTTAGTCTACTGAACACCAAATATTACACACATGGTGAGACTCTCATTGTCTTCAAGGGACAGTATTGTCCTCCTACCAGTAGAGCTATTAATCCATTTGTTGTTTTGGTGTAAGTTGCTGAGTTTTGGAGATGTCAACCTTCTCTCCAATGCTCAAAGCTTAAAAATGCAACCTCAACAGCAATGTCTCGTTCCAGAAATCATGACCCAGTTCCTCAAGATAATCCACAGACCTTGTTGTGAGCAGTTTCACGTATGACCTATTTTCTTTCTACCAAACAAGACTCAGCAACTGCATCAATGCGCAGAAGGTAGCACACATATTTGCGCTAGCTAACGTTACAGCTCAGCCTTCGGCACAGTGATATGAAGAAAGACAATAGTTCCAACATGAAACTGCTAACAAGAAGCAGAGTGCCATCTGGTTCCATTACATTGGAGAGAAGGTAGACTTCCAAAACTCACACCAAAACCATCTAGATGGAGAAATGGCACTAAAGGTAAGAGTATTTTGGGGTAAATTGTCCCTTTTACGTACAAAATGCAGTCACTCAGTGGCTTTGCTGGCCCAAAGTCTCTGATAACAAGTGGCTGTGGGTGGGTATCCTCTTTCTCTGGTGTCAGATGTGAATGTACTCATTTATCTTTCTCTGGGCGCCTACTAACTCAGCATGTAGCCAATGACCTTCAGACAGTCGCAAGCTCACGATCATGCTTGCTGCTGTGCTGGTGTAAGAGTGAAGTCATCCATCTGCAAATCAGTGCTCAGGTAACAACATACAGTATCGTCCTTGTGGATCAGTAGGTTGAGTCTGATACCACCTTTCCAAAAAGAAAAAAACATGTCTCCTCTGGCATTGTCTTCATACCACAGAGAAAGACAAAATCCTTCAGATCCTGCCATCACAGGAAAAAAAGGCTACTGAGGGAAAGCTGCAGACGTAGCTGCCTTTAAGCCTCAAAGCAGAGGTAGGAGAACGGTGGAAACTAAACAACTCCCATCAGAGCAGGATTCCTACAGAATTCAACACTGGGCTCTGTTGAGTTTGCAGTAGATGGGATATCAGGGCCCTTGTTGCTGCTGTGGTGCCGCCTGTCTTAGCAGAGCCTGGAAGTCAGGAGACAAGACCAGTTTGTGGTGGACGTTTCCCAACACCATCATGTCTCCAGTCCGACCGTCAGACAGGTGCACAGACACCAGTTGCTGCAGAGGGAGGAAGGACAGATGGATTCTGTATTAATGGTGGCTTTGTTGTTCTCATTGCATATTGACTTAACAGTGGTGTTTTCAATAGTTAAATGACGCAGTTTCGAAGAGGAATACAAAAAGTTTAGTAGATTACCATAGTTATACTTATTACCATAGGCAGCGCCAGGGAGGGGCTTGGGGGTGCTGTAACTACCTCTAGGATTACCACAGCACCCCCCAAGCAAGAAATATCTGTGGCTTATTTATATTGTTTAATTTCTTTATTTTTAGATTCAAAAACATATCATTATCTGTTGATCTGATTTGGTCAGTGGGTGCAGCATGCACTCAACTTTTGACCTTACGTCCACTTCCCGTTACCCAGAGTGCATTTGGTGGTTGAGGCACAAAATCTGACTCCTTATAGTTATCACTCTGCAATGCTTATTCATATTATTACATATTTAATATATAAGCATATAGTGATCACTCTTCTGTAAGGACTGCAAGGAAGGAGGGAAATTATAGAATAGTTTAAGTATAAGTATTTGTATTATTGTTTAGTTGGGTTTTGGGGTGTGTATTATATATTCGGTGTTATTTCCTATCTAATTTTGGGTAATTAATCTTGCATTATCTCCCACATACTCTGTATGTTAGCACCTGAACTGAACACAAGTGACCTGTTTGAGTTCAAATGTTAAGAGAAACACGAGTGTGCTGTGATTTACACATCTGCTCATAGTAAGTGACAGCTTAATATGTCACATACAGTACATGTGTGTACACACACACACACACACACTCTCAGTACCTGCAGGAAGGAGAATGCAGCTCCCTCAGAGACGTCCATGACGACGTCACCCAGCTTCAGCTCCACCTTTCCTGACTTCCTGATCTGCAGTTTTCCTAGAAATCCTTCTGGGAACTGGGACAGCATAGGGCAGCCCTCCATCACCACAGTCTCCTGGAGAGGCACACGTACACAATCTGTTAGTGTCTTAAGTGGAGTGGAAAGGCCAAAAATGTTGATAGTAAAATGTTGTTTCCCTAGTGGAACATGTAGAAACATCTCTGGGTATACAGGGTTCTGGTCTGGTACATTGAGGTTTGGTGCTTTCAGGTTTGACCTTTCCTGTACCAGCTGGGTATTTTGGTGAGAGGAGATGTGCAGTAAGAGGAGTACAGCTGGGAATCCAGCAGCATATTGCAATTTAGTGCCATGTACCACAAACAAAATTACATCCTTCAGTGTATTGAGATGGCAGCAGAAGCCTCAGCTGTCCTGCATGAAGCGGTACCACTGATGCATAGTTCAGGAATTCACAAATAACAGTTGAAATGGCTTCTTCAGAGAGCTGGTAACAAAGGAGAGCCATTGAATGCACAAACCTGGATGTAATGTACTTAAACAAAATTCACTTGCCACTAGATGTTGCACTAAAGCACCAGCATATCAGAACAAAACATTGAGCACTAAGCTTGACCAGACTCCATGGACAAAACCAGCAACAACCACTAACTGGTTTGTTAAAAAAATTAACTTAATTCAGAGTTAATTGAGGCTTTGATAACAACACAGGCAGAGGGAGTGTGACAACATGACTCTACTATATATATCAAATAGTTAATTACATAAAGGACACAAAAAGGCTTGGACTGGCTGCTACTCTGGATACCTTGAAACACGCTGCAATCCATAGCGTATGTTTGTATGTATATGTATGGAATAGATGGAGAACACCACACATTGTACTGAAAAGCAACTCCAGACATGGCAACATCGCTAGTTTTAGTTTTTGTTCTGTTTACTCACTTGTGGTTGTAGATGTGGAGGCCTCTTGTCCTCAGGCTTGCCCTCCTTCTTGGCAGCTTTCTCTGCTGCAGATCCAAGAGAAGGCTCGACCTTCTGTCCAGACGTTCTGCACGGCATACAGTCCGGTAACTGCATGAAGAAGAGCTCCTCTCTGCCAGACAGGCTCAGATCCTGCAGCACTTCAACCAGGGATGGCTGCTTTTGTTTGGGTATTTCTGTCCTGCTGTAGCCTGCTCTACTCTGAGCTTCACAGGATGGGGGTCTGAACAGAGGAGGGTTCTCTGGACCTGCCAGTTTGACAAGGGACAGTCTGTGTCAAGCTCAGATTTGTTAATAAGAACAAGCACAGCCTAAATGATTACAATCTTGGCAAGAGTGTTGTGAATGAAATGAGCTCCTCCAAGTGGCATGTAACGTGACAGTTATTGGTGAGGCAGTAGCAGTAGAAGCAGTCAGAGGTAGTTTTCTCACATGTGGTGGCTGTCAGTGTTTGACTCTTGCTGGACTGACTCAGGGGCAGCTGGATGGGTTTCAGCTTGGCATCATTCCTCAGACCTGGATCGTCTATGAACTGTGGGTGTAACATATAACACTGGTAGTGAACAATGATGAGATGAGGGTGATTATTATTATTATGAATAATAATATTAATTAAAGACTCACTGGGGGGGGGTAACAAAGTACAAAGACTTTGTTACTGTAGCAGAGTAGTTTTTTAAAGTTACTTAACTTGAGAATTTATTTTTCAGACAACTTTTTACTTTTATCCCCAATATTTTTACGCGAATATTTGTACTTCCTACTTCTTGCGTTTTCAAAAGAGGCTTCTTACTTTTGCTTTAATACATTTCCTTGTACGCCTTCCCAACATCAAGATTGTTGCATATCACACATAACAGACGTAACATAAAGAAAGCGACGTAACGAGCTGGACGGCTGAAATTCCGACCAAAAGGGGGTGTGTCTCGGTGAAATGGTAGGCCCTGCCCCTTAAAGTCAGATGTTTAATGAGCACAGAGAAACTTTCCACTTTCAGCAGAAGAATGTGAAAACATCCTTCTAGAGTCAAACTCTGCACAGACAGCATTCAAACAGCACACTGGTCTCTGACTGGAGGGGACTTCCAGGAAGTACTCACATCATCCCTCTGTAGTTTACAGAGTATCTCATCTTCATCCTCCTCTGACTCTTTCCTCTCTTTCTTCAGCAGTTTACACACAGGAGAGCTGGTGGAGTCATGCAGGTCTGTAGCACCACGCCAGCCTGAACATAGAGGCGGGTTGATTGTGCACCCGTAATGCATCTGTAGTGTGCGTGCTTAAATTCCACTAGAAAATAGAGGTTGTGAACCTGTTTTGCGTACGGTGTCAGCAGGACCCTGTTCAAAGATAGAGTGTGACTGGATGGTCTGAGGCCTCTCTCTCCTCCTCCCTCTGTTCTCTCTCCTCCTCTCATCCCTCTCTCTCCTCTCCTTTTTTGGAGCCACGCGGACCTCTTCCTTTAATCTGGGGCAGAATCGGCCAGAATGTTCATAATCACTAAGAATGACATACTGACAGCACGTTATATGCAATGCTTAAAACTTTATGTGTGGTTACTCACTCATCTTTGCTTTTCCTCACAGCATGGACATTTGGCTCAAAGGTTTTCTTTGGGGAAGAAAAAGAGAACGGAGATAAATACAAAATAATGTTAATACCAAGTATTTATTCGTAAGCGGTAATTTAATAATAATTGTGTAATAGCGTATACCTTATATAGTGTGAAACCATAATATTATCTAAGACAGTTATAGACCGTACAAATCTCATACCATTCCAACCCTACAAATACACTGATATATTTAATATGCTATAAATTCTTTTCTAGTTGCCAAACTCAATATTTCAGGACTCTAATCTTTATTTTGCTAGTGATGATACTGATGAGCAGTAAAATAAGCAGCAACAAATGTCCTATTAGCCCCTTCATTAACGCTAGGGTTGCACTGATTTATGTGCCCAACATTGGTATCTATGAGGAAATAAGATGGCATTCACCTACTGTATACCAGTGACCGATGTTTATTTGTTGTGTTGCATCAGTTTTGCACTGGCTAAATGTTGTGTTGGTTATTTCCAAGTTGGATATTGGAGAAATGATCTCCATTTTCCATCACTAGCACAAACCGCATGCAACCACTTACTGATGTGCTCAATGCAGCAGCACAGACTTAGACTCCTATAGTGTATATTTTATTGTTTATTGTCTATCTTTTTAGCATTAGTAAATGTCTTATCTGTTGTGAAATTGAATGTTTACTTTAAGTATTAGGAAATGTCTTGTCTGTTGTGCCTGTGCACTTTATCTGTTTCACCGTGGGAGAGTGAGAAACTTCCTCTCGATTCCTTTGTTTGTCTGGTGCATGTGAAGAAATTGACATTAAAGCTGACTTTGACTTTGACTGACTTGACAGACAGTGAGTGGCTGTTCTACTCTGTGTCTCACATCTTGGATCATTAGAAAAATAGAACTGAGCTGCACAATTAATTGAAATATTATTTAAATTGCATTATGGCAAAGTCAAATTGCAAGAGGTGCATTTTTTTTGATAAAGGTAACGTGTGTGACAAACAGCATTAATAATTAAGTACTGTAGTGCTGAAGAGATGCGCTGGTCTACAATCATGTTTGTTTGTTTGTTACAAACACCCCTTTGCAAAGTTTAATTGCATACCACTTGTCTAAACAAGGTTACAAAGTGCTTCGTCACATCAATTTCAAATGATTCCCACCCTATTTATGAATCCCTAATCGCAATATCTGCCAAAGCAATTGCAATATGATGTTTTTAACAAAGTGTGATGCCCTAAAATAGACTGAGCTGCAACAAGGCAGAGATACTTATCTTTGTAGATCAATAGGCACAAAAGTGCAAATAAATAACAACAAAGAACACTGACTATAGGCCAAATTGTTATTTTAAACATCGGTATCCTAATCCAGGATTTCTTAATCAGTGCATCCCTAATTAAGGAAGACACCAAATAAGAGTTTTTTACTGAGACCCTGGAGCTGACCCCTGACCTCCCTGTGAAGGAAGGGAAGGTGTTTTCTCACAGTGGAGAAAGTTATACATTATTTTCTAAATCCAGTAAGAAAGAATAAAACTATTATGGCCTTATTTGTCTTCAGTGTTTTATTACTATTATGTAAGCACTTTGTATTGCATTCATGCATGAATTGTGCTTTAGAAACAAAGTTTATTGTTATTATTCCTTGACACTTAAGTGTTGCAATGTATTGTTTTGTGTGTAAAATGCCCCTAATATGTCAGTATATGGTGATATGTGAGTTATGTTGAGTTTGTTGTAACAACAAATATATTACTGGGGTTGTTCAAAGTAACGTTTACAATATACAGTGAACCAGTTCAAAACTGTCCTTAACTAATATATAATACTGGAAATGTTTCATGCTTGAATCTTATGTAGTTGTGTCATTCATTACCTTTGGTTTTTTGAGGGCTCCCCCCAGTGTCAGATCCCTGGTTCTGAGGGACGTCAGTCTTCCAGGTGCAGTGGGGGAGGACAGACTAGTCCTGAGGCGGCCTGGTGGGAGTCCACTGCCCGCGGTGAAACTCAGCCCCGCCCCGCTGCTGAGGCCGGAGCAGCCGGGAACACTGGCTGTATCTCCGGAGTCGGTCATTGTGTGATATCAGGTTACCCTTATACTATTTTACTTTGCAAGTAGCTCTACGTGTTTCTTATGGCAGAACAAACAATTTGTATTGTGCACATACCGGACAACGTTACAGTCTGGGATTTTGTAGGAAGTAACGTAAAGCCGTTACAATGGTAACGTGTCTGTATTCCTTACACGGCTCTTGTCACTGTCCCTGCCCTCCAAAGCGCGTTTCTCTTTCTTTCTGCCCAGCAAATATATCCTGCAAATAGCTCATTCAGGTTGGAAACCGCGGTGTACACGCAGTCTAAGCTAAGATAAGGGTTAGATAAGTCTAAGCGCAACTTAACAGCAGCTTATTACCCTCCATTTTGTTCCCACTCGCTATATCAAATAGACTGCGCCAAAATGCAAAACTGTACACTCAAGAAGACAGAAATGCTCCAATCCGTTATATCACATGTTATTCGTTATATACGGTGTTGTTGCATTGCACGGTGTCCTTCCTGAAGGCTGCAAACTAAAAAACATCATCTTTGACAAATCGTCTTGTCGTAACACAGCGGAGATTCCTGGCGGTGGTTGTAGAAAACAAACAGTACTGAGTAAAAATGTTAAAGACCTCCAAACAGTGACATTTTCTCCAGCAGCTCCGTTTGGGCGCCTGTTGTATTAGTCCAGTTTATTTCCTTCCTACTACGCTGCTATTGTTCTTCTACACCGTACTACACAGGTGGAGCCACAAGATGGCGGCGTTTGTCTGGTGTGTGTGTGTGTGTGTGTGTGTGTGTGTGTGTCTCGTGACGAGGCGGTGGAAGAAATGTTCAGCTCTTGCACTTACAAAGACTTTGGTGGAACTGATCTCAGTACTTTTACTCAAGCATTGTACTTAAGTAGTTGTAAAGTACTTGAATATTTCGATTACTCTATGCTCCTTTGTAGGCCTACTGAAGCTCCACTATAGTCCACAATAGTCTGCTGTTTACACCACTACATTAATGAGTTAGGCTACTAGTTACTTTGCAGACTTTTTTTTTTTAAAGTGCTATTTCAGAAAGTGTGTGGAATTAGTAAGATTTTACAAAACCCACGAATTTATATTATACATTGTTATAGATGCACTACTACTCTACAACCTATGTAAAAGACATAGCCTACATTGATTTTTCAGGTTGTGGTTATTTAAGAAATCAAATCATAGAGATTTTGAAGTCAGATTACTTAGACTTGCATATTACTGCATTGGATGCTTTTAAATATTATATTATTAAAAAATATATACTGTATATATATAAAAATATAAAAACGGCAACCTCTGTGATTGTCAAATGAAGCCAACATGTTAGTGCTGACAACTGCAGTTCCTCCAACGGCCACTCAAGGCTGGCTACAGAAGTGACTCAATCTCCATAAACCCCATATTAATATGTAATTCTAACTAATCTGACTTCTGAATTCTAATATATTGATTTAGATCAACCTTTTAAGTTGCAAAAAATGTTTTGAGTTGTGTTGATCTAATAATGTCGGTAACTACGTCAACTTAATATTGTACGTAATTTGAACGAACATTTATGTGTTAATTGGTTCAAAACAAAAGTCAAGTTGTAATAACTTAATAAAATAAGCTTGAATTAGCTTAATTTTTCCACCTTGAGTTCAGCATTTCAAGTCCCCTCCCCTGCCCACCTACCTATCACATGCCTTGGCAAATTCAGACAGTTAAGGACCTGTAGGCTGAGTGAATATGATATACAAAGGACATTTTTGATTTGACCAGCAGTGGATTTGTGACTGAAGGTTAGGCTACATCTGTTAATACAGTTAATGGTATATGTTGTACTAATAAACATAGTTAAGGCTAATCATAATTAGCAGTGCAGTTTAGCCATTCTACCCTTCAGTGCAGCATAGCAGTGGATAAGAATGATAAAGTTTTATTGGTCAAATTGGCTCAGCTTGAGAGAGCTTTTTATATGAGCCAGGTAGAGGAATAGCATGATACTTCTTATGTGTTTAGATGTAAACTGCATTGTTGTTTGTATTTATTAAACTGGATAAAATGTAATGCTTTAGCAGGGTACTTGACTGTTGTGTCTCGTCAAGTGTGTTAATTTTAGGCATGTTCATGTTTAGTCCTTCCTGTTTTATTTTGTACTCACCTTTTCCATCACATTTCAGACCCTGACTTCCTCCCTTTGTGTGATTTTCCCTCCTTTTTAATTGTCTGCCCCGCCCTTGATTGTTTTCACCTGTTTTCACTTACACCTGGTATACCTAGTCCTTGTCTCCCTTTGTCTTTGTCTGTTAGTCTTGTTCAGTTTGTTAAAAGTATTGTCATAGTTCCAGCCAGAGTTGAGTTTTTGGATTGAGTTTTGATTAAGGTTTGTGTGAAGTTTTTGATCTCCCCGTGAGTTTTTGTTTTGCACTTTTTATCCTCCTTGTGAGCGCCTTTTGTTTCTTCGTTTTTTTTCCCTCCTTGAGAGCGCTTTTTGGACAATAAATACTCCTTTTGTACATCTTTGTCAGTCCCTGAGTCTTGCATTTGAGTCCACCAGAATTGTGTCTGAGGTTGTGACATTGACTGGCCCATCTTATTGCCTGATCTTTGTTTCCAAGTTGCCCCTATGCAGAGCGACTACTTGGAGCAAAATTCTGAATTCTTCTGTTTGTGTGGTCTACAGAAAGAATTCCAGAGAAAATGGCCAGATTTGACCATGCATATAAAAAATGATAGATGTAGACTCATCAAGGACAGGAGCTACAGGAGTGACAGTCAGACATATAAAAGACATGCTTCTCGAGGTATGGAAATTATTAGGCTAATCCTTGTTGACCGTTACCAATTCAGATTATATTTGGTTAGTTAGTTTCTTTTGATACTTTTTCCTTTTTTTAAAATAGCCCAATACGAAGAAATGTACACAGCGACGTAGCTATCCACGGCCTTGGAGAGAAGGAAGAGGACCATTTTCAAGGAGTTTAGAGTAAGTAATTGAACATCTTGAAAGAAAATGAAAACCACATTAGGCAGTGTAAATACACAGGGCAGAAACCTGCTCCTTGTCCATTAAAGTTTTAAAGATAGTACACTTCTGGCTACACCCCAATCTGTAATATAACAATGGTCTGTTCAGATAGGTGTTGACAGCAATGGCATGGGAAAATACTTCGAATGTATTAATAAATCAATGTATTTTTTCTGTTAATTTGCTATACAAGGACACAGAAGCGTTTGAGCCCTTCTTGACTCTACACTTAACAGCCCCAAACTTGCCAATTGCTCATCACTCATTGTATTTCTCACAGCAGTCTTGATTAACTTTAGCACAGTACTGCAGTGCTCATAGGTAATGCAAGTGCAATTTTGCAAAGCTTAAAGATCTCACTGAACACCTCTTTATATGACTCAGGGAAGACTGTGAGGTCTATTAAACTGGTTGGTGTTTCAAGCCACTAGTTTGCTTCCTATCAAGAACATGTTTAAGCTGAGGGATTTAATATTCTAGATCATCAGTGCTACAATTGTATTGTGAGGCAAATGGAAACACTACATTTTTCTCACAAAATGTGGGACTGGCTTGTATCCCTTGCATTATGGCACAATTTTCTTGAGAAAATCCTCTGTTCACCTCAGAGAGAAGCACATCAACAATTGAATGAATTAACCTGTCTGAATTAAATAACTCCTTTTCTGTGCTGACTTGTCTTTTAACTATTGGAGTAGAAATAATACCCTTCAAGCGTAGAGCTTGGTGTGACCTCAAGGCCTGGGGTTGCAGCACCAATATTACATTGCTCGGCAAGGGTCACAGTATTGTCCCAAATATTACTAAAGACAGAGCCATCTCGATAACTGTTCAGTGTGTCAACAAGAGACTCAACAAGGGTAACAGCTGTGCCCAAAATGAGTTGTGGGGACTGTAAAATATATATATACATTTTATCCCACCAAAAACATTGGTGAATGTTACATGGAGACCAACAAATTTTAGATAGATCTGGGCTTACAGACCTCTTGCTGTCTTTGAGTAGACATATGATGGCTGGCAGTCTGTCCCTCACTGTCTTGCAAGCATTGTACCTACATGCCCAATCTGTCTCTATCAGCCTTTGTTACTCTCTCGGTGCCCCCTTAAACATCTCCCTGTGTACCTCTAGCCACCTTTGGTGCACTATGACTCTGACACAAAGACATAAAAAGAGATAAAAAAAAAATAAGAGATACATTTTACACTAATACTAAATATAAGCAATGTGCATTGCAGTGAACATAAAAAGCTAATGTTGTCCACTTTATAGTACTAATGTCCACATATGGATTTGAGGTCTCTCCCACAAATGGTCCTGTGAGCTGACCCTATGACTGTGACCAACTGCTGACTGGTCATCTCCTACCATAAAACACAACCCCCTAACGAAACTGTATACATTTACTACCCCTCCAAAACATTCATCTACCACACCTGTACACCGCCTTTCTAGCCTTCCGACCTCTCAAAGCACTTTTACACAACGTGCCACATTCACCCTTTCACACATGTTCACTCAGCAATGGCAAAGTCCATCGAACGGAAAGTAACGCATTCATACACATTCACACACCAATGCACAGCATCACCAGAAATTCAGGGTTCAGAATCTTGCTCAAGGATACTTCGATATGTGGCAGGAGGAGCGAACCAACGACCTTCCGATTAGTGGATGACCCGCTCTTTCCTCTGAGCCACAGCCGCCCTTCAATACCATAACATGTAACTGTAACAGATTCACAATTTTACAAGGAACTATTTAGTGGATTAGTTCATGTTTTTTGAAGTGGGGTTGTCTGAGGTATTATCCATAGTCAGTGTGTTATCTATAGTAGATGGCAGACAGCGCTCCCCTCAGTTTACGAGACATTAGCTGTTTTGCTCGCTCTTTATTATAGAACAAAATAAAGACTACTGTGGGCCGATGGGCACAATAACAACTGAGTTGACTCCAAATGGTCCTGGAGCTTGTCTTCTACTACACAGTGAACAAAGCCTTCATGGTTTCCCCCAACATGGCAATAAACAGTCCTTGTTGTTCAAATGTAATAAAATAATAGGGTATATTTCAAATTGATTGCTTTATCCAAAAAAGTTTGACAACTTAGGATCTGCTGTAAAGATTTTAGTACAGAGATGTATTGAAAGGATGTTCTGTTTTGGGAGTTAAGCACAAATTCTACAGTTTCCACAATATCAACTTTTTTTTGTAGTATGTCTTTCACTTCCAGGCAGTAGGATGAGGGCCACAACCACCAAAAGAAGCTGTAATTGGATATGGACTTTTAAAAAGGAGATGATAGGTCTTGCAGAACAGTGTCATCTACTTGACAGTTGCTATTCTGTAAATGCTGAGATATGGTTTGATGGGTAAGAGGGACAGAAGCAGTACTTATTAAATAGTCAAACAGGCGTAATCAAATTACAGAAGTTCCTCCAACAGCCACTTAAGGCTGGCCACAGAAGTGAGTCAATCTCCATAAGACCCCTTATTAAAATGCCCAACTTTACAGCAGAAATGTTTACAACCAAAAAAAGCTTTCTTTCTTTTCCCCTGTACGGGGGTTGAATTTTTATATACCATTTAAAATTCTGCATTGACTGTGCAGTGTTTAAATGGTAAATGGACTGTATGTGTATATAGCACCTTTCTAGTCTTTCCAACCACTGAAAGCGCTTTTACACTACATGCATCATTCGCCCATTCCTGTATTTGGATTTGCAGGGAGCTGGCGGAGTCAGGAGTGCTAAGATAGCGTCAGCCAGAACTGACCACACTGAACTTCACAACAGGTCTTTACAAAGCTATGGGTGACGTCACAGACACTACGTCCAGTTTTAACTTGAAAAGGCAAAAAGCTCCCCCAAAAGAAAAGAAATAAAAATAAAGGTTTGACTTTTCACAGCTCATTCCATCTTGGTAACTGTGACTAGTAGTTTCGAAAATGGAATGAGAACCTGCGGACGTGCAATACCCCACAGTGTCAGAGGAGGGGGAACAAGTTGAGCCCAGCTTTCCCAAGGCTGGCTATGGATGCCAATGTATACCTCAGAGCAGGAAACTCTATAGGCTGTCAGCGACTTAACTCGTTTGCCTCTGGGGGTGTCCGCCACATCCCCTCTAAGGCGAGCTGATCAATTCCATCAGTGATGCTGTGCTAAGTTAGGCATAGTAGCCATTACATACATTGTTTGAGTTTCTCTTTAACTCACTCTCTCTCTAGACTTTTATTCCGAAATAAAACCACTAAATACATATTTACTTGGACTTACAGCCCAAAGCAGATTTTTGTTACAGGGTCTGATCTGTCATTTGTACAGCATTGGTTATCGTTCCAGTCACATGTTTTGGGTGTGACATCCCATTGGAAACTATTAGGGATGCTCGATATTGGCTTTTCTGCCGATATCCGATATTCCAATATTGTCCAACTCTCAATTTCCGATACCGATATCACCCGATACCAATATATGCAGGCTTTTTACACCAAAACTGTTAGGTAACAACATAACATATCTCCTATTGTGGAATTAACACATTATGCCTCATTTTATTGTGATGCCCCACTGGATGCATACATAAATGCAACATGGATTTCCAAATGTAAACACTGTCTGTGCACAATAAGAGAACAACTTCAACTTTCATTGTATTAATACTGAAAAGAGCGCTAATGCTAATCGCTAAGCGCTAGCTTTGGTTAATGTGTTTAATTGTATTATGTACCTGAAGGAGTGCTAATGTAAATTCTAACCAATTGTTAGTTTGGTTAAGGAACAGCTCATAGCAGGGTCAAATGTTTAAGGTGCATTGCACTTATTTTGTGTTAATATTGAAATCATTCAGCTTTAAATTGTTTGCTTGTTAGCCACGGTTAGCAACCAACCAGTCTAGTGTGTAGTTGTTGTTGTTATACGCCATCTAGCGCACGCCGGTAAACGTCCCATGCTGCGTTCATGCAGGCTCGGAAATGCTGAAGCCTACAGAACAAACATCGGTTATAAAAACCTGATTCCGATAATTCCCAATATTACATTTTTTTGTGAATATTGGCCGATGATATCGGCCCTCCGATGTGTTTAAAGTCAGTAAACAGTAAGCAGCTGACCATATAAAAGTGCAGGGGCAGCCTCTCGGGGAATCATTATCTCTATTCCTTTAAATGTTTATTAAAATATTAACGCAGTCATCCAAAATGTTCTAAATGTGTAAATGTCCATGTAGAATTGTGATTAATTCTGGTGGTGGACTCTCATTTGCTCGAAATAATTCCACCCGTGGCTTGGGGATGATGATTGGGGAAGGTTCTGATGGTCACTGTGAAGAATTTTTTGTGCTTTATGCATCCTTATATATGACATATGTTGTTTTCACCTTTAACATAATTCTTAAGGTAAATGTACTTAGTTACCATGCAATTCACTATTACCCTGTTAAAGTGTTACATTGATCTCTGGCCATTAGACGAGGATACAGGAAGAGTGCAGAAGAAAATGAAAATGCCAAAAAAATTCCCTTAACTATAATTTATTTTGCTAAATATAGTGTATTACCACTTTAAGGATACCAAGTAAGAATTATCATGTGTAATGAATAGGAAATGCTAAGAATGAAAACAAAAAATATGATTTAAATTTCTCCCACCATTTTGTTCTTATAAATTTCAAACAAATGTCAATTTTCATTATGTCCTGTTCCTTTTCAAAATGTTGTAGGGTGTAGTAATGATGAACACAAGCACAAGAAACCCAATCACTGCTGACAAGCCAATCAGCACGTCCATTTGATTATTCTTCTGTGGATCTGCAAACAGAGAAAAAACAAGTAACACGATTAAACACCAGATAACAGATGAAAAACAACATTCATAGTGCAGTGATCTTAGAAACAACAATAACTTTTTACATACTAAAGATATGGCTTTACAGCTGTTAGATAATGTATTACAGACTGTAATTGTAAGGGTTGAAGTCAGAAGCAATAAATGTTACCTTTGTCAAGCTTAGCTTAGGTCTATAGAGACTAGATAGATTAGATTAGATACACTTGGTCAAAGTGTTCATAATGGTTGGACTTTACTGCTACGATACTGTATGTCGCTATAACAACGAGAGAGATATTTTCATGTCAAATCATCAGAACAAAACCTATTGGCTTTTCTGGAGCTTTCAACAGCATCTCACAGTCTAGATCAGTAAATGACTCTGTTGGTTGAGCTATTGTGGAGATGGCTCAGTTGTCATCATTTGACCAATGTAAATAATGATTACATGATAACAGGTGGGGTATATGTGGGGAAATTTTGTCTGTCCTTGCAATTTATGGTAGCATCATGAGAAGCACACTGGCCCATGTACCACCACACTACCCAATGTTTTAAAAGGACTAAAAGCGTTCATGTTTTCCTTCCAAGTGAGTTTTGTTTTACTTTCTCTATGCACGCTAAACATGAGGTATATTCTTTTGTTAGCAACTTATGTAATATTACTGTAATGCTTTTCTTTTGACTTTTTGGTATTTTAATCTGTGTCAAGAAAAATCAGCCTGCAACCTTCTGCTGATCTGGTGGCAACCCAAAGCAGGATAAAGCAAAGAGAGCAAGGACAAAGTAGGATGGGAAAAATGAATAAAATAAGGACAAACAAACAAATCAATATAAATCAAAAACCAAAATAGCTAAATAAATAGAAAAAATGGAATTAAATTATAATGATAAACCCATCCTGGTTTATGTGCAGCTAGCCATCCTATTAGCTAGACTTAGCAGCAGTTAGTTAAATTAATTGATTAATACAAAGGTAAATAAAATACAGAAGCAAATAAAATCTGAAATATCAATTTGTCACATTTTATGAATTGATTAATGCTTAATTACTTTTTTAATATTACTTTGGAATACATTTCATGGCTTATTTATTTATTTATTTAGTCATTTATTTCTGATTATGGTAGTTTCTCCATACAGTTCCACCTTGACGCTTCTTCAAAGTCACATTCTGAATTGTCTGCACCAAATCTCTGCTTTTCTTAACTAGATGTTCTGTGCATCCCAAAAAAGACTCACAGCTATGTATTGGTAATAGGTTAAATCACATGTTAGCTGCAGTTCACTTATAAGATACTTACTCTTATTGTCTCCTCCTGTGTTTTCCCTGGGAACCAGCATGTGCTTGGTATTGTCCAGGTGTCCATCAGTGATCTCTGGGTTTATCCCAAGGAGATGGCACATCAGTGGATACACGTCAACCAGGTCAAACGGATCTACAATCAGGTTTTTCTGGAAGTCTGGCCCCACCACCCTGAAGAAGGCTTTCATGTCCATATCTTCATTATCAAAGCCATGGTCTCCTTTGTTGAAGTTTACAGGTAAGAACTACAGTATGTGAACACAGAAATCAGACATTTCAGCAGTACATAAATGCATAAACTGGAAGAAAGAGGTGTGCATATTCATTCTCAATACTACCACAAAGTAGATCATTTTCAAATCCTGCACATACTGTAAAGGTTTTAAGTAGATTCAGGCACACACGTTTGAAAACTGCTGCAAAACTCAAATACATTCTTTGAACTCTGACCCCACTGAATATAGGCTACAGGTAGCGAACTGTACACTCCCTCACCCCATTGACAATGTATCCAGGGTCAGCGATCAGGATGATGGGCTGGAGTCGAGGATGGTTACTGTAGTGCAGTCTAGCTGGCATTTCCTCCTTTTTATACACACGAAGATGAGGGTGGCTTCCCTTCAGAGCCTGGTAGACCTTCTCCAGCATCCCCTCTTTAGGAAGCAGCATCCCAACAGGACCATAATCCAACAGTTGGAACTTTATATCCCTGAAGCTGAAGCCAGGAATCTTTGAGAGGACGATCTCCTCAACTAGTCCACCCCGAAGAATTTTACTCATCCCGTGGTCGGCAGTGATGATAATATTAAGCCGGTCAGTAAGGCCATGGTCTTGAATCTTGTCCCGGATATAGCCCACAGTACGGTCCACTTGCTGGACCATCTCTCTGCGTTCTGGGGAATCTGGGCCATAGTCGTGTCCTGCCAAATCAGGTTCTCCAAAGTACAATGAGACAAAGTCCAGGTCCTGTTGGTGGAACCACTCTCCGATCACCTTGTCGATGTTCAGCCTCCAATCTGTCTCATTAGAATGATCATAGAAACGTGGTTCCACTTGCCTAACCCTCACAATCTCTCCTTTGTATGTGGCTGCTGTGCCAGGGAAATGCAGAGAGCCTGCTTTTAGACCCTGGAAAACATTTTAAACAATCATTCATTCATTTAAAAAAATACTCCCATAATTGTGAGCCTATCTAGAATTGGATGCTACAGCAAGCTAATACAGAATATCTAGAAAACAGATAGATCTAAAGAACCTGTCTCTGGGCTGTTATCCAGATGGGTAAACTGCCATTGTCCCAGTAGGAATCAACAAACTGAGTCTCGTAGTACTGCTTCTTCTCCTGAGTGGTAGTGTTGAACCATACGTTGTGGATAACTCCGTGATTCTCGACATAGCGTCCTGATGAAAGACAAAAAACAGATAAAGAAACTAGTACATAAAGGCAACCTTATATAATGTAGAAGATACATGGACTGCTTACTAAGCAAAGTTGCATGAATATGAACGTGTAATAAATGTAATGATGGACTCCTGTGTTCATGTCATAAACCTTGGTGTGCATTGGACCTAGATTGTACAGGATGCTCTTTTTGAAATACACTACAGCCTTGCACAGGACTGTTTTCTTAATTCCGCTCCTAATGGAAAAAGAAGCCCATGAAGGTAAAGTTCTCAGAACTCTCCAGTGGGCAGTTCCTCTCTGGGAGTGCCTAGAACTGTTTGGTCAGAAAATGCCTTATAACTCTAACTCTAAAAACAGTGAGGTGAGGGAACTGGAAACACCATCAGCCTTTTAGTGGAAAACGCAGACCCAATTTGCCACAACTGTGGCACTTGGGTCCTGCAACTCACCAGTTTCTGTTTAATGAGTGACACTGCGAAAGATCCGCCATGTAACATTTATGAAGAATATAATATGTATAGGTATGTTTTCATTAGTAAATGGTAAATGGACCTGTACTTGTATAGCGCCTTTCTTGTCTTCCGACCAGTCAAAACACTTTTACACTACTGCACATTCACCCTTTCACACACATTCACACAGATGATGGCAAAGTCCATCGAACAGGAACTAACATTCATACACATTCACACATCGGGAGCAATTTGGGGTTCAGCATCTTGCTCAAGGATACGAATGACCCGCTCTGCCTCTGAGCCACAGCCGCCCAATAGTGTATATTCACTTAAATGTAGCGATTGTTGCATCATCGTTGACTTAGAATGAGGTGTTTTTATCTACAGACACCGCAAGTCGCCATGTTGAAGCGCCATTTTTCTACAGTAGTCCAGAATGAACAAACCAAACCGGTAGATAGGGCGGTTCGCATTTTTCGCGGCCACTGTAGTTTCGCAGTTGTTTGGAAAAGTAGGGTGGACCTAGGGAGATTCAATCTGCAACTGTACCACTAGATGCCACTAAATCCTACACACTGGTCATTACCTGACAAACAAATCCTGTCTGGAATGACTGGAATAACAAGTTAGTATTGCATGGCTCGGTCCGATCCACTTGTTTTAAATTTAAATTTGTAAAACGTGTGTTAGACAAGAATCACATTAGCTAGAGTTGCTTACCCAACCATTCCAGTAACATTTTACATGTTATAATTGTTTGGCAGTGAACAGTCTAGCAATACAGAGTGAGAATACAGAACGTATGCATGAAATAAGTTATTATGCATATACCTAACTCACGATTTAAAATGTGTGGCAGATAGGTATAAGAACTGGCATAAAATGTACACAGCTAAACTGTTGTTTTTACCTGTCAGCATTGTGAAGTGAGAAGGGCTGGTAATAGTGAGGAAGGGTGGCGTAACATAGACTGCCTTTACCCCATCCTGGGCCATCTTATCCAGGTTAGGTGTTTCAACATCTCGGTCATAGTCCCAGCGGAAGCCATCGAAGGAGATGAGCAGTAGCTTGTTTTTGGTGGATGCGGTGAAAAGTGAGTGCAGCTCAGAAACAGAGTTCCAGGGTGGGGCAGCAGCACAGGGAGAGCTGGCAATGAGGCAGAGGACGGCAAGGCAGAGCAGCAGCATGACTGAGGATTTAGACCTTGTTGTGACTTAAAATCCACTCTTCACTTTATTTAGACTTTTTTGAGCTCTGTTGGCTGCATTTCCAATTTAATCATTTATTTCTTGCCACTGAAACCTGCAATGTCCTAAAATCTGATCTTATTTTTCCTCTCCTCTAACTGCAGTTGTATGACGAACCTTTCCCTGTGGCAAGTATAAGACTGTATTGTGCAGTTTAAGTGGATACACCCCTAATTAATGATTGTTTGGGATATTGGTCAGCCCTCATGTACCCATAAACATAAGACAGGTTTTATATCTTTATTAGTGTAATGCAGTAATGTGATAGGGAGTGTGTGCATGTGTGTGCAGAGGTCTGAGCCTCTGTAGGCACAATGTTTTGTAACTGATGAATGATGAACACTGTGTGATTGTGTGTGTGTGTGTGTGTGTGTGTGTGTGTTTGTGTGTGTGTGTGTGAAAAAGATATAGCGATTGCTGAGAAGGATTTTCAACCCTTTGAACCTGCTTGGTTGTATTATGACTTTTTAACATAAAACAGAAGTTACTTTAATAATACAACAATTAAACAATACATCTAAATCCTAAAGAGCTCCTCCATATATGTATTAAGACATATAAACAACAGCTTGGAACAATAATGTATGTCTGATATGTTTTTTTCATGCTGGTAGGCCCCACCCCTTAAAATCTGATGAGTTCAGAGAAACTTTTCACTGCACATACATCATTCAAACATCACACTGTAGCAACAAGAAGAAACACTGATTTTGGACTGGAGGAGACTTTACCCATTTTTAGACATCTTTCCTTTGTGCAATAATCATCATTCATTACAAATTAGAGTTGAAATGATTGTCCACTATGTACATATATCCTTCCTAAATCTGTTTGGTTTCACAGTTTATTTTATTATACATGTCTGGGTATTGATATAATCTCAGTTACACACATTAAACCGGGGTAGCTCTCCAACATGATCGCAGCCAAAGAGCAGAAGCATGTAAAGTACTTTACAGTAAATCGGCTACCTCCATTAATTTAGTGATGATGGTTCAGCAGCTCTCTGTCCCCACTGCCCACATTTTCTCTTCTCCAGTCATAAGTCTCTCTGTTATTCATTTGAGTATTAACAAATGTTCATGTTACACAAAAATGATTTGCTAGATCTTTGGTCCACTTAATTTGTGTTCATAGCTGAATTCACAATGACATATAGGCTTTAAAGACTAGCTCCAACAAAGGACAATATAACTATTATATTCAACCCATAAACCTATGTGAGTGTGACAGCTTCAAATACCAGCTGGAACTGTAATGCAGTATCAGCATGTATATAAATTCAAATGAAGTAAATGCGCATACACTGTTATCCTGATCTATAATCAGCATGTCGGAGGTGCTGTTATCTATTTCTTTATGCAGGACAGAAAGAAAGTACCTAATGTGACATTATCCATAAAGGGAGCTTTATGGGAAAAAAACACTTGCTGATGGCAGAGCAATGACAAAATACACAACAATGAGGGTAGCATTAAAGTGGGATAGTATTCTGATGAAAAAGACATGAATAGTGAGATTACTCATCAGTAACATTTTTTCTTCTAGGGAAATTCCGTTATTAGTATAGGATATAATAAGTATTACACATTATTACCTTCTTATTACTTAGCTGCAGCACCTGAAATGGGCCAGTACTCACCAGTACTGAGTACCACTGCTTCTGATTTTTGTCCACATGTGTAACCTTACTTCTGATTGTGTATACCTCTTCCTGTTGAGTCTAAGTACCCACCCCTAAACAGCTGACATTCCGCAAAGACCCACCCTTCTCTGCCTCTGATTGGGTTGTGTTTGTTGCCTTTGTTAGGTAGTTTTATGTGTGAGATGGTTTGGGTTAGAAAAAATGTTAGGGGGTGAACGGTAGCTCACCTGGTTGAACAGGCACCCCATGTAGACTGAGTCCTTACCCCTTGACCTCCATAAACCCTTGACTGTCTATATTTGGCTGACCTATCAAATAATGGCATAAAAAGACCCCAAAATATCTTAATATCAAGTTAGGATTAGAGCTAATCAGAGTATAGCTTTAATTCTCTGTCTGACCCGCGAAAGCAAAGTTGATATAAAGCAAACTGAAAGGATATAGCCATGTTTGGGTAAACTGGTGAATTTAAGAAAAATGACATTTTTAATTTGCATTTGGATTGTGATTTCTATGAATATAAATAATATACATAGTGATCTTGGGATACATGTACCAAATCTTAAAATGTCTTAAAAAACACTTAGATCTATACCAAATATTAAGAATCTGTTTCTTGTCCTGTGTATAACTGAAATATCCTTCAAGCTAAAAACATCAAACAAAAACCATCCCCAACCAGATCATTATCTCCATGGACATGGCAATAATTACTCACAGTGACCTTTGTAAGTCCTTCTGTACTGTGATTTCATATTTATAATTAATGGAAGAACTAGATTGGGGAAAAGAAGACACATGGAAAAACACAAACATCAATCTGAATTCTCAAAAACTGGTTTGCTTCATCTTTTCTTCACCGGCAGCATGTTCTGGTTTGTAACTGAGGAAAGAGAAAAAAGACCACGGAGGTAGTGTGAGACAGATAACAGGATATGGAAGGACTGGTCAGGATAAGGGTGGCTTTAGGGCAACAAACAAATTGATAAAGAAATGTTATGATTACAGAATTTACCTCCTTTCTGCACTGTTCCTTTTGTACAAAGTATAGGAGGTGGTCACTATGAAGACCAATACCAGAAACCCAGTCACTGCTGATAAGCCCACAACTGCTTGGGACTGGATATTCATTTCTGGATCTGTAGACAGATGGAAAAATATTAGAAGGAAAGACACAAACAGAGAGGATGAGGCTCTTACTACAAATGCTAGTTGAGAAGACTGGATCACTTCATTTGTTACATCTACCAAATTGTATGTTGAGAAAAAATTTTTACTGATAAGAAATTACATTAAATCTGAATGATAACGTGATACAGCCTGTAAGATGAGGTGATCACAGTCGGCTAATGGCTATCAGTATGATTGGGATCTCTTTTATCTCGACAGTTACTGTACCCACTTTGACTTTCTGCAGTGTTGGCTATCTTGTTTTGTACAGTATATGGCCTCTCTATCTGCTGTCTCAATCTCAGAGAGGTGATAATGGGGTTTTCTGTCAGGTCAAGTCAAAAGTCTGTCATATGGCCTTTATCTGTTCCTTATCAGTTTACATTACTTAAAGTCAATATGTTTACAGCTTTTATGTGATCCTAGCGTCTTTAAAATTATTTTTGATGACTTAGTTATATCAGAACTTGAGAGTGTATTTCTTTATTGAAAGAAGAGCAAAGAATGGCACTGACCGCTTTTCTCAGTGTCTGCCCTTTTCCAACTAGTTTCCAACAACAACATCCCAGATGGTTCTGTGTAACAAATCATCTGGGGCAGTCAGGTTAGATCCGCAAATATTTTCTCATCTAACCTGGTGAATATATGGATATTATGGGTTTATTTTTTCATATGTTGGAGAGACTGGTGGTTTTATTGAGTTTAATTTTATTTCTGTCCCATTGTTTGGTCTGAGATGCTGTTTCTCCAGAGGGACATACAGTGGCTAATAAATGTTTATGTATAACCTTCAATACTGCATGAATCTAAGCTTCAGTTAATCCCTACTGACTAGATAAAGATAAACCAACAAGTTATTGACATCTGGAATGTCACAGCAGAATATTTCTTACTGTTTCCTTCCATGTTTTTCCTTGGGACCAGCATGTGTTTGGTATTGTCCAAGTGTCCATCGTTGATTTCTGGGTTTATTCCTAGTAGGTGGCACATCAGGGGATACACATTAACTGTCTCAAAGGGTGTGGACACCATGTTTTTATGGAAATCAGGCCCCACAGCCCTGAAGAAAGGCTTCATGTCCATAACTTGATTGTCAAAGCCATGCTCTCCTTTGTGGAACTGCACTGGGATCAACTGCATATGGAGAGAAAACAAGCAAATAATGTTTAGTGGAAATTTCAGTGCTCCTATCAGTGGTGGAATGTAACTGGTTGATTTACTCACGTAAATGGTAATGGTAAATGGACCTGTACTTGTGTAGCGCCTTTCTAGTCTTCCGACCACTCAAAGCGTTTTTATACTACGTGCCACATTCACCCTTTCACACACATTCACTCAGTGATGGCAAAGCCCATCGAACAGACACTAATGCACTCATATACACTCACAGCAATTTGGGGTTGAGTATCTTGCTCAAGGATATTTCGACATGTGTGCAGGAGCTGGGGATCGAACCATCAACCTTCCGATTAGGGGACGACCCGCTCTGCCTCTGCTCTACTTATACTTTACTTGAGACTTTTCTTTTCATGCCAATTTTTTATTTTATTCCACTACATTTCAGAGGGAAATATTAAACTTTTTACTCCACTACAGTTATTTAACAGCTAGTTCTAGTCCTTTTACTTATGAAGTAAAATATGAATACTTCTCCCACCACTGGTTACTCTACAGTTAACCTGGAATAAGTCACAAGTTTGTAATGACATTCTGTTATTATTATTTACCTGATATTAATGCATAGTTTCTTCCTATGAAGTTTCCCACCCTGAATTATTTTGAAAAGTATGTAGTATAAGAGTGGACATGATGGTTCCATATAAATTCTCTCACCCCATTGATTACATATCCAGGATCAGCGAAGAGGATGATGGGTAGGAGTCGAGGATGGTTACTGTAGTGCAGTCTAGCTGGCATTTCCTCCTTTTTATACACATGAAGATGAGGGTGGCTTCCCTTCAGAGCCTGGTAGACCTTTTCCAGCATCCCCTCTTTAGGAAGAAGCATCCCAGCGGGACCATAATCCACCAGATGAAACTTTATATCATTGAAGCTGAAGCCAGGAATCTTTGAGAGGACGATCTCCTCAACTAGTCCACCCCGAAGAACTGTAGTCATCCCGTGGTCAGCAGTGATTATAATATTAAGCCTGTCAGTAAGGCCATGGTCTTGGATCTTGTCCCGGATGTAGCCCACAGTGCGGTCCACTTGCCGGACCATCTCTCTGCGTTCTGGGGAATCTGGGCCATATTTGTGCCCTGCCAAATCAGGTTCTCCAAAGTACAATGAGACAAAGTCCAGGTCCTGTTGGTGGAACCACTCTCCGATCACCTTGTCGATGTTCAGCCTCCAATCTGTCTCATTAGAGTAATCATAGAAACGTGGTTCCACTTGCCTAACCCTCACAATCTCTCCTTTGTATTTGGCTGCTGTGCCAGGGAAATGCAGAGAGCCTGCTTTTAGACCCTGGAAAAATGTTAAACACAAAGAAAGGAGTATTTAATACTGTAGATACAACAACCACAAATGCAGGAAATCTTTGAGGTAGTTAACAGTTTTAAAAACAGATAGATAGATCTAAAGAACCTGTCTCTGGGCTGTTATCCAGATGGGTAAACTGCCATTGTCCCAGTAGGAATCAACAAACTGAGTCATGTAGTACTGCTTCTTCTCCTGGGTGGTAGTGTTGAACCACATGTTGTGGATTACTCCGTGATTCTCGATGTAACGTCCTGATGAAAAATAGGAAATATAGATGAAAAAATGTTAAAGAACATCAAGTCTAGTGAACAGATGTGAATTGGGTGACAACTAATTAAGCGTGTGTATGTTCAGAACCACATTACTTTTAGCCATAGTGAAGTGGCTGAAGGAATGGGAAGGTTGGTCAGTCCACCACTTTGATTCAGACGCAAAAATCTTGACAAACATTGGCTGGACTACCATGGAGAGATATTCATGGTCTCAGGAGGATAGATCCTATAGACTTTGGTCTGATCCTTTGACTTCTTATGTAGCACCACGAGGAGTTAGAAGTCTTCAATTATTCAGTGAAATACGAAACTACCAGATAGATTGGTACAAAATGTTGTATAGACAATCAAGATGATGTATCCAAAATACTTTGATCAGAGATACATCAGTTAAATCATTTAGCACCACCAGAAGGTAATAGGGAAAATGGCAAAATGATAGGTGAAAGGTTTTGACTATTGGATATACAGTATCAACATGAAATTTGGTACATATATTCATGTTCCTGTCAGGATGCACTGTAATTTGGTGATCCCATGACCTTTCATCAAGAACCATCTAAGATCAAAATTTGACATTGTCCAAAATATAAAAAATAACTACAAAATGAATGACCCTCTCATTAACCTCACCACTACTTGTTTCATACTAATGAGACATTTTTTATAACATGATGGTGAAGATGGTAAACTTGGTATCATAGTGACATTAGCATTTAGCTCAAAGCACTGCTGTCAGCCTCAGAGAGCTACCAGTGTGGCTTTAGACTCTTTAGACTTTTAGAGGAGTGACTGTGGTTGGTCAGTGGAAGAATGTGCTTTCCAATAGGCCCAAGCCTTCTGTAACTGTCTTCATCTATACCTCAAGTTGTTCTTCATTTTGTAGTATTTTCAAAATGTCATTGAAGTGCTTAGGATGATCTATTGTCAAAAGTGGAATATAATATTCATAGGTATGTTTTCATTAGTGTATAATCACCTGAATATAGGAATTGTTGTGTTTTTGTTACCATAGAATGAGACGTTTTGAGTGGGTTGCCTTCCATAGAGTCCACCCAGAAAAGACAAACCAAACACCGACTCTAGATAGGGCCTTTAGCATTTTTAGCCGCAGTTTCATGGCCACCGCAGTTTCTCCTACACACTTCACAGCCCGTTCTCATTCACAGACCGTCAAATACAGACGTATTAGTTATTTAGTTGCAATCTGAAACTTTACTGCTAATTGTCAGTAAATCCTACACACTGGTCCTTAAGGTGGCCAAAAGTGGCTTTTTTTAAATAACTCACATGATTAAATTATACCAAGGCTTAAAATTCTTTATAATTAAAGGAGTTGCTGCTTTGATTGACAGATGAGTGCTGTCACAGGCAGCTGGTTTCAGTGGCCATCCCCAGTGGCTTAGTGACCACACTGAGCTTCACAATGGCTCATCAGAATGGGTGACGTTACAGAGACTATGACCATTTTAGAGTGATAAGTAGGGATTTTTGTTTTGTTTTTGGACTGTCCCTCCTAAATATCACTTCCTCAAATCTGTCTGGCACTGTAACGCATTTTCTGTAAATTTTCTGTCAATGAAGTCTAAGTTGCACATAACCCTCCATTTATTCTTCACTTTATTCTAAACGAAGAATTCATTACTTACTTACTTCTATCATCTCTCCATGTCTAAAGTAGCTTAAACATTTTTGCACTGGTCATCAACAGTGTATCCATAACCTTTTCTGTAAATACTGTCAACTAGGTTATAGTTAAAAGATGTTTTCAGAATACCTGTGAGCAGGGTGAAGTGAGCAGGGCTCGTGATGGTAAGGAATGCTGGTGTGACGTATTGTGCCTTCACCCCATCCTGGGCCATCTCATCCAGGTTAGGGGTGTCAACGTCTCGGTCATAGTCCCAGCGGAAACCGTCGAAGGAGATGAGCAGCAGCTTGTTTCTGGTGGACCCAGATCCTGCAGTGTCCCGCGGTGGGGCAGCAGCGCAGGGAGAGCTGCCAGTGAGGCAGAGGACAGCAAGGCAGAGCAGCAGCATTATAGAGGATTTAGAAAGTCTCTGAGTGCCTGACACTGATTCACAGTTTATCTGCTTTCTTAACCTTCTCTCATATGATCTGTTTACTCTCAGTAAGGAGTACCTCACATCACCTGATTTGAAGCAAATCTGACTAAGGCAGAGGCAGATGACCCCAGACTTTATCTGTTCTCACACCCATAGAAGATGCATCATCTTATCTTATCAACTCATAAAGAAATTAAATCTACACTTACATAATTGCTCCGTCCTGGGTTGTAAGTTTATTACTATGATATACAGCTGAGGAACAATACAATGGATCAAGCGCACAAAACTGCAAATCGTTTAGGTCATGCTTTGTCAAACGGTGGGTAGCGAGCCAAAAGGGGGTTGCGGACTCATTCTGAATAGGCCTCAGAGTGTGTGCTCAGAAGAAAATATATATTGTAAAAGCTTTGCTATGTTATATCTGACTTCTGTTTGACAGAAAAGCTTCCACAAATGTGAAAACATCCCATTTTGTAGGCCTTACTTTGTTTACAGTTTTGATGTTAATTTGATCAATAATCATACCAATCAGCAGCACACATAAAGTACATACAGTACCTAGTTATTATTAGAGTAATGGGCTCTGATTGCAGGAAAGGAAGCGTTTTCTGCATTTTATACCGAAAAAAATGTTTTTTTAACAGCACATATCAGATAACATATACACTGACACAATACAATACAATACCCATGTCTGCAATAGGCCAATATCTGTAATCCTCCATGTAATCCCACTTGTCATAATAGTGACTAATAAAACTTTTATGACAAGTTACTTTTTAAAGGGTTTATGAGTACAGTTTCTATGTAAAATAGTTGTGGACAATTTTGATCAAGATGAGCCCTGAGAGGCATTGCAATAATTCCACAATGTTTTGTCAAATGGGGGCCAATATTAGATTCCAGTGTGAACTGCATCTGTATTACACAAAAGAATAATAACGCAGTACGCTGTTGTATAGAAGTAAACACGTGTTCATTTACAAGTTGATGTGCAGTGGAAGCCAGCGAATTCCTGAGCAGATGATAACGAGTTTGGGGAGAAGGAAACCCAGTGGCTGCTAATGCTGTATGGAGGTCTGTGTGGATGCAAAGTCAGAGCAAACACAGACCGGTTACAATTCAACCTCTCAAGTTTTGCTTGTACGGATGTGTGACCCCAAATACTTATGAGGTTTAACACTTACTGCCCCTCCACTGACTACCTACATTGCAGCTGATTGACTCCCACCAGCCCAGAATTATGATGGATGTAGACCTAGAGTGAGATAAAAGTCATGAATTCGGATATGACTGTTCACACTTCAAGAGGTCACAGATCTGCAGATTCCATGTGATTTGTTCTTCTAATTAATTTTTTTATCTTGGTCACACATGAGCAAAAAAAAAAATCATTTTTGCCTGCAATGTGAACATAGCCTTAAGTGACTGTGACAGGGAAGGGTCATATCTTGACTATGAGGGAGCCACTTGTTATTTACCAGCAAGACTTCTTCATTTTCCAGCTGAAATCCTGGCCCTAATGGACCAGAAAGTGATCTGATGGATGAATATCATATTTTCTTAAAAAATGAGACCCCGCTCACCTTACCTGTTACTAAACCACATGAGTCAATTCATCTTGATTCGTTTTACAAAATCCCACAATGAGCCCAACCTCTCATCCAGGACTTGTGACAAACAACAAGCCAGATTATCCACCAGGAAAACAAATTGGATATCCAACAGCAACAAGTCAGACTAACAATACTTTCAAAGGACCAGCAGGTGGCGACTCCTCTCCATGAACCAGCACCGAGGCTCAGGTTAAGTATTATTTTCTCAGTCTGTACCTTCCAAACTCCAACCACAAAGTCATCTTTTTATTTTCACCTCTCAGACAAGGATAACATTTACCACAGTCACTAATAGATGGGAGAATATGAAATTCTAATGTAGATGTGTGATCACATAATGTGTATAAATGAATGAAAGTACTTAAATTATTCTTTGACTTCCTTGAGAAAGAATACAATGACAGAAATGTTTACTATTTTAATTTGGAACTGATTTTGGTACTGAAAACAAAGTTAATATGAGGACTGAATTTCAATTCAAGCAGATTGTGTCTGTGTCAGTAGTTAAGAAGGCTTAAGGTAAGGAGGTGGTAATCTTCAATATTGAAATGGTAATTCTGAATGAGAAAATCTGATATATAGTGTGGATTAAATACAATACCGTTCTCTTTAGGGCATTTAATTACAAATGATAAATTATATTTTTTCTATATACACTGTATATCATTGTGTATACAAAACATCAGAAAGTTTTGTATAAACACAATACTTGTATAGTAGAATTAATGCATTGATATATTTAGTGTTTCATGGTATAAATACTGAATATCACTAGACTTTAATGAAAAAAAGTATTCAAAAAGATACCAGAGAGGATCATGATCAGGATCAGGATCATTATCACGCATTCTCATATCGTGGCAGCAAAATTGGTAGAATAAAATCAATCAATTCTAAGCAACAATATGTAATCAATCAAAAAAACAGCATATCTACATCCGACAACACTGAACAAACCAGATTTTTAGGACAATGATACTCAATCCAAGTTTGAAGCACTGCATCCGATCTCAGTACACGTCTAAGATGTAAATACCTGAGGGGTTTTTCATTAATCTATGGAAATGTATCCATGTAGTTACAATACACTTCTTCCACCGCTGTCCATCATGCAACCTGACAGTGGGAGCATTCCATTTCTCCCCTGCCTCGGCCCTAAGGAAAGCCGGGTTCTGGGCTGATGTTTAATCTATGAGAAGAGATCACAGGTGGCATTCATGCTACCGGAAACAATCCCATCCATATGCATAAAATGTGAGTGGATCAAGGTTTGCTGTGAGGTCCTGTCTACTGGGACTGACTTAGAATCTTAGAGGTCTCACCAGGTATTGGTAGAAATCAATAGAAATGAGTCGGTGACTGACCTGGTTATCCAGCCAGTTCTCATTCCCAGGTCTTCTCGACATCTCATACAGAGACACAGAGTATCTTTTAGCATCTGTATTAGATGCACCAGGCTTCAATGTAAACCCATCTGCATCAGGTGGCATAGTACAAAGGACATGCATAGGGGTCCCATCTTCATCACCAGCCTCCATGGAGGTCCCGCCTTTGGCGTTGGTCTCCAAGTAATCCTCCACACCACTAGTCTGGTCGTCCTCCTGCCCATCCCCCAGATCTGCTCCCTCTACATTTCTTTCTTTACATGTCTTCTGGTATTTTAAGTAGGTGGGGTTCCTTTAAGCATCTGTATGAGATGCGTCAGGGTTCAATGTAAACCCTTCAGCAGTCGGTGACGTTGTGTAATGAGCTAGAAAGTCTGCATATGGAGGTGGTGGGTTGTATGGATGGATCAAACAAACACAGGGCTTTAACCCATGAGACTGCAGTTCATGAGTTGTGTTCGCGACTTGAGTCCTGTGATTTATGTCATGTCATTTACGTCGGGCAACATAGTAATTTTAACCCAAACCATGATCTTTTTCCCTAAATCTAAGTAGTTTTGGTGCCTAAACCTAACCAAACTGTGACCACCACAGTGTTGACCACGTGTCCTCTCTTTTGTCCTGTACATACTACTACTTGGTCAGATTCTCAATTGCTGTGGCCTTCCACCTGTATGCTGATGACACCCAACGCTAGCTTTCCCGAAGACCCTCACTGGTGATCTGCCTGACCAAATTCTTCAATATAATTCCACATCTTTCAAGTTCTCCATGACCTCCACTGGGTCACGGTCAAATTCCTAATAAACTATTAAATTCCTCTTCACTATCTACAACACCCTCAGTAACTATATATACAATATCTTATCTTACCTATCTTTAGACAGTGTTTATATGACAGTCAGCCCTCCAGCATCACAGCCAGCGTCTCTGTAGCAACACCAAGCACTCTGTTGCCCTCTGCTACATATCAACTGTAACAATCACTCATAAAAAAAAAGATAGCAGCATGTGCAGTCTGATGTGGGTGTGCGTATTTGCATGCTCACAGAGTAGGCATTCCGAGTACGTTCCACATCTCCTGAGATTCTAATTACGAGTTGAGTGAGAGGAAGAACCATAGAGCTAACGAAGGAACATCCATCTGAGTTCCGACCATCTGTAACCCCTGCTAGCCTTTAGCGGTGTAATGTCTTGGTGTTTTACTGCCGACACATATGGTGCCAGCACTTCTCCTGCTTTGTAAGCCATGAGCAGTTTAATTACCTGCAATTAACATCCAGCTCGTTAGATGAGGAGGAGGAGGACGAGGAGGAGGAAGAGGAAGAGAGTGGGGAGAAAGGCTCTCCAGCTGCTGCTGGTTCTGCAGTTACACTCTTATGGCTTAAATATGCATGTGTTTATGTGTATTTAGTTCATAAATCTATCAGTTACATCTTTTCAGGCTGCCTCATCATTACAGTCTCAATGCTTCCATATTTTGCTTTTCGGCGCATGCATACAGGAGTCTGTTCAAGTTTGCATTGCAAAGCTGTGTGTTTGCATGTCTGTAAACATGAGATTGAGTTTGTTGACTGAGGAGGGGGAGAGAGAGAAGGTGTTTGTGTATGTACGTGCATGCGACCGCAGCACTGTCGCACTAGTCTCTGCTGCGGTGACAGTGATGTATGGGTAATTTAAAAAGTCATTCTTTTCCACAGAGCGGTCTGCAGTCAGGCCAGCCAACCGCAGCCCATTCCCCTACAGCACAGAGAAAACTCATCTACATCCACTCCAGCACTCACACAAACACACACACAAACAGACACACACGCACGCACACACACACACACACACACACACACACACACACACACACACACACACACACACACACACACACAAAGAGGTAACCTGGCACACACACATTACAGTCTAAAAAACAAATACAAATTCTCACATTTTTCACGCAAACCACTTTTGATTAACTTTAATTTGTTGTCAGAATTGTTATTGTTATTTGTGTATATTGGTTTGTCTACCAACACACTGTTTCATTAAATGAGTCATGTGAACTCAGTTCCTCCAACATGGGCAGCAAGTGCCAGAGGTCAGCAGTGTTCTCCTGGAAACCACTTTG